TTATGACACTTTCACGAGGATAAGCAAATATAAGCACGTAGCTCACTTATTAATTATTGTCAGTTTTTGTATCGGTCAGTGTGACAGTTTAATTGACTGAAAATACCTTAAATCGAAGTCGGTATGATGGAGCTTGAATTCGTGACCGAAAGATCAGAAACTTCGATAATGTAATCATTGACATATTAGGACTCGGTTAATTTAAGTGAATAACATGGACAATATATATATATATATATATATATAGCTAGTTTTCACACTATTTGACTGAGAATTACTAGTGGTTTTATGCATACAACCCTACAAGAAACCAAAATAACACAGTTTTGATATGCGCTTTATTATTAAGTAATGCCAAAAAAACTAAGACAGACTAAACGTACATTACTAAAGATAACCAAGTCTTAATGAATAATCATTTTTTTAATTTTGTCTTATAACTAGACTATCATTCTCGAAATTTCATCATAGTCATTATCATAATTAAAATATGGTGTGCATCAATATTAGGAGAGTAAGACAATATTCTATTTCATTCACATTAATAATAACATAAAGTAATAAGTTCTCTCTTTGCAAGTTGTTTAGTTCCATACTCATCCTATCTTTTCTTTTTCCTGTCAATCTTTTATATTTAGGTTGGTTTTTTTATTCCGGTTTCACATCTGAATCCTGGGTTCAATATGCTGTATGAAGTCGATTTCGTACAATCGATAATAACAATATGAAATATTTCTTCAAAGTTACTTGATTTACTAACAGTTAATAGGAAACAGATCTCCGATATAATCAGGTATAGACAGAATATGTTGAATAGTGTTATTAACTTTGAATAATATTATTTGCGTAAAGATTAATGGAAATATTACTCAGTGCTCAAACTATTACAGATTGATTTCGGGATTCGAACCTATAAGTCGAGTGATTTAACCAATAAATAGTTAACATTGAATGAAAAAACACTGATAAAACTGAATGATGAAAATCAATATTTCAATACAAAAATCTCGTTAAAGGTGGAAACCATTGATTTTGAGTTAATCTCAGATAATCTTGACATATTTATATCTAATATTCCAAGTTTTCTTTTTCTTTAAAAAAGAAATACATTAATTCAAATTGTTTTCGTATCCAGTGAACTTGAAGAAATGTAAACAATTTATGCTTGACTTTGTTAACACATGACAATCAGATGAAATCACGAACTTGTTTATTTCATTACCGTTTAAATAACAATTGTTACGTCACACGTATATACTGTACAGCATGACCTAATTATGTAAATTAATTAATGTAAAGTTAATTTCAACATACAAGTCATACGAAATTATACCTTTGTAGCACAAGAATTTTTTCTTCAATAAAAATAGGTATGAATTTGTTCAAAGTGAGAATACACCAGATAATCATATATTTATTCGATATGATTGTGATTTGACCTCAGTCTGTCATAAGTAATCTAGGACTTGGGATATATGTGCATCGATTCAATGTGTCACACCAAATTATTCAGATAAATGTCACACCAGTGGAAATAGTAACATTATCAGTAAAAAAAAATTGGGTACAGGAAATATAAGAAGAATAAATGAATTTCTGGAGTAAAACGAGGGTAAAAAATGATTAAAAAATTCAGGATCTAAGAAAAGACAAAGGATGAATGCATCTGAGCCATTACGACTGATTCTGAACCATATGCTATAACGCCTCTAACCATCATTTGAGATAACCACGAGATCTCGATCAAGTAGTTTGTATTTACCAACATAGCTCAGTTCAATAGTCAACGAATTTACGGATTGATGTCTAGCTTTAGTTGTGATGAGTCTAACTTTCTTCTGACCTATTATTGCACTAGGAAAAATGACAAGTCAATGTAGATGGTGATTGAGTATATATGAAATAGATATTCCAACCATTCAAGTCGATGAAGATTCACTATTTTGCCAATTAACTTTCTATCTTTAACTAGAGTACCCTGTGCCCAACCTCAGTAATACTCACTCGATAGTCCCTGTATACACGAGTAACATTTGTGAAGCATCTATGGTCGACTATTGAACGTTTAGCAACAAAAAAACTTTGACAATTGTTACTTCACTCAGTAATTGACGAAATAGAAACTTACTGTTATACTGAATATATTGTGGGGTGACTTTTTTTCGACATTAATCGGTTATAATCAATGAAGGAGCTGGTAAAATTATGTATCGTCTTATTTCTTGGAATGTTTTCGCTTCACTAAGTGGAGTGGGGTAACCAATATTAATTATTTCAATCAGCTAATAAATAAGTATTCGTTTCTTCTTTAAAACTTCATTATAATTATTTTATTGTAAAATTCTTGAAGTATGATCGAAGGGGTTTCGAACTACTTTAACAAAATGTCTGTTTTATCACTTAAAGGGTGATTACATTATATTTGCAAGTTCATGAACTTATCTCAGAATAGATGAAATCGTTAAAGCAGATTAAATTTAGAAGTTTGATTCCATTTGTTTAGTCTTTAGTATTGACCGAGTTTAAAATAGTACTCGTTCATCAAGTTACTTTTCGCGGGTTCTAGCCATACCTATGAACAATGTTTGGTATTGGTACCCGATAAAATTCTCTGAAAGTAAGTCATTTGTCTGCTACAAGTTGTGAATAGGGAATGCCCGAAATCCAGAAGCTACCGATGGCGTATCACAGAATAATTAAAGAAACTCATTTAATGAGTATATGTACTTAGCTTTCATTCACTACTACCATTGAAGTAAGTGCTTCTATCCATTTGTACTGATGCATATATATGCCTGATCCTACGTTGTAGATGGCTGACTGACTGGGTGGAGAGTGGTTTGAATCTGGGACCTATTGACTGAATGGTCTCCGCTTGCTGAATTTGGGATTTATTTATTTATTATTACTTATTTTAACACATATTGGTACAAGGAGGCAGCAAATACATATGCGCTACACAAATCTCATTTGATGTGTGAGGGCTATGATATTGCCCGGGTGCCCAAACCGAAGCAGGTTGAATTTGGGATGTCATTAACAGACTAAGTAACTAGATTTCACAGTGTACGTTTCTGGGTTTACTCTATAGGAATTTATAGACTTATATTACCACATAAAGTTAGTACAATCATATGGTCAAATAACTTAGTGCCTGGTTGAGATTTCTAAGGTAGTAAAGGTTTCCCAATGGTTACTTAGTGTTAGCACACATATGAGATATCGATTCAGAGTCTCTCATAAATCTGCACTTCTAAGGATAATTTAATCTATATTGTCATGGTTTACCAGGAATCAAAGACATCAAAATAAAAAGAAACAGTTTTAGAACTGAAAACTGGATCACATTTCGTTAAATTACACAATCGAATATCTAAAATTATTTATTTATTTGGACACATACAAGGAGGGACGAAATAGATATGCACCATGTAAATCATTCGATTTGTGTGAGGGCTGTGATACTTCAAGGATGCCCAAACCAAAGCAGGTGCTTTTCTTAGGAGGTCACACCCCGAGACAATGGAGCAACTTCAGGAGATGCAGTCCCATGGTAACCAGTGACCAACAATAGGTACATACACCGCTTGTTTGTTTAGGATCACTGAACCCATGTGCACCAGTGGTTTGGAATCAGGGTTTTCCAACTCCCCTAGGTGGAACCTCCATATGCACCAACCCGGTTAAAGCGTCGGACATTCGATTTTCGCCCTCTCAATTCCGTAACCAACACCCCCGTCACGAGAGGGCAGTGAGTAGGACTTTCCTGGGAGTGGCTGTATACACGTGGCCCTTTGGAAGCATTCCGAGGGGGAGAGCGGGCTCCACCCTCGGCCGTACCATGGTATTTGGGGGCAATATCTAAAATGGTATCTAGTCTACTGGTCACGAAAACTGAAGAATCTTCAAAATGAAAATTATTGTAAAATAAAGTATCCTGTAAAATCACCGAAAACTTGCTTTGTTTTTAAAGCCGAATTTTCGATGATAAAACATGAGAATTCCAGGTCTTCATGGGAGGATGCTAATTTTAATTTTATCAGTTAGGATTCTTAAAATTTTACACGAGTTCAGTCGATCATTAATGCTCACAGGAGTAGATTTATATTAATAACGGCATCATTAACGTGAAAAAGACAGCTCTTTGCTGTTTCTTAGATAAGTATTTGATGACAAAAACCATTTGTACTCTGTCAGTTGTTATCGAAATAGTTAAAAATGGAATTAACTCATTTACCAAGTATTTAGGCATGAACAACATGAGGGCTGATGATACTACCCGATTACCTAGACCAAATTATGTGGAGTGGGGTTCAAACTTGAGACTTGAAGTCAAACACTTTAACCACTACGTTACCGCACCATAGAAGTAAAGTCAGTACTTGATTTGTTTTTACCTCATCATCAAATAGTAAACTACACATGTATCAAATTCACTGAAAATATAACACACTAAATATCTTTTGAAAATAACACACCACAATGACGATAACACACATGAAAGTGATTAAACTGAGGTTCTTGGTAAAAAAGAAAACCTGATGGCGAGATGTCTAATTAGTTTCATTTCGTATTTCTATCAATATCACTTAACCTAATGAAAAACGGAAAAACTGTCAGGACAGTGAAACTATGACATGTTACCGACCTAACTGATTCAAGTTGTTTTTGAAGCATGGGATTCATCATCTGACATTTAAACTATGATTTTAGTTATAAGTATATTCTCTGAATTCATTTTAATGTCACTTTTATTTAGTCTTATTTATTGGATAACTTTATATTATGAGAGAGCATTAGATTTACGCACAATGTTGCGGCATTCTACACTTTAAGCCAGTTTTACAAATACAAATCTGGACCAACCAGACATACATGCCACACAGTATCACAAGACTATATGTATGCATATACATATAATTAGTATATACATTTTAATTTATTAAAACTGTCATGGAATAAATGATTGTGTTGAATTTCAGTTGTACTAGACTACCATCATGAACTACGGGGGTGTATATATTCTATTTGGAAAACTAACAAAGCAAGAAATTGACGTCAACTACATTGGCTACTAATGACCTAACGATACAAACGGAACAGAAAACAATGAAACAACCACTTTGGAAACGTACACTTAACAGAAATTGAGAATTTTTTTATTCAAAAGAGAACAAAACAATATATTAATGAGTCAGTGTACAATTTGATATTACACTTTTTATAATCTGCCCTTTTTTCCAATTTAAACATATTCGTTAACATCTTAAATCATCATCAATGTTACAAATGAGATAAATAAACAATCAAAGCTAACTAGACAAACATTTTAACGTATTCACTTACGTTGACGAATCAAAAAGATATTGTAGACGTAGAAGATAAAACTGGACAGACACGGGCGGACAGTGAGTAAACATCACGCATATATATATATATTACAAACATGGGAATTAGTGTTAGAAACTACTCAGTAATAATAATAATAATAATAATAATAATAATAATAATAGATTAAACAGTCTGTGTATTTCCGAAAAAAAGAAAGAGGTAGTAGAGGACCGAGACAAGGAGTATTGTTGAATCTTTACTATTAGAAATGTAGAAAATACAAAACAAACAAAAAGCAGAGGAATAAACAAAATGAACACAACATTATTAATGAATCCTAGTAACAACTGGGTATTTTATGTGAGTGTAATATAGTAAAAATTAATCTGAATAAGAATAGTTGATAATTTATAGTCACCTATATTGATAAATGATAGCATATTACATACAGTATATAACGTTTTCATTTCAATAGATAACCGATAATGCAAAAATAATTGTGCTTTTTATTAAAGTTCCCCTTTGTTTTCAGCTGTACATTAATTGCGATCAATAGTGATAATAGTAGTAGCCCTAATCGTAGGATGAACGAATACAATTGAATAATTTAGTTAAGTCAAAAGTGAGTGGTATAATCATGTTGAGTATGTATGTATGCATTTATGCGTAGACAAAGAGAAAGCAAGATATAAATTAGTTTTATGGTCACAGCCAATTACGATAAATAATTCGTATTGCCTATTTACTCATTTGTGTAAGTAGTATACATATATGTATATAATGCATGTGCATATCTGTGTACTGTAAGAGTTTACTGATGAATAATTGCTTGTAAGTTGAGGAACAATGAGAGGATACATTGAATTATTATCCCTGATAATAACATCAGTTATTCCCCTTTCCTATAGTTATAAAGCATTGATTGTATGTGTTCTATTTTTACAAAGAAAACAAACAAGACAGCACCATAAATAAATAATTAGTAAATAATATTGTTAGAGCAGTGTTGTTTGAAGTGAAATATAACATTAGAGTGATAGATTATAACACTAGGCGTTAAGATGAAGAAGACGTAGGAGAGACAGGATCATATTGTGATTCAGAGGCATTGTATAATGGAGTAGCAGAATCTGGTTCATCTGAATTTGATCCTAATTCTGAAGTTAAAACAGAGAGATTAGATAGTCGTGATATACGATTCAGGTAGATTGTACTTCCATTATTATTATTATTAATCGTAGCACATGTATTTGCTGGAGTATCACTGGTACATTCGGTAAGTTCGTTTGAAGTCACAGAATTTACACTATGGTTTAGTGTACTAGTATTAGTAATAGTAGTACTAACAATACTACTAGTTTGAGTTTCGAAGTTAGAAGATACAACAGTAACTACAGAGTCTGGCGCTGATGTTCTTAACTGATTGTTTAAATTTGAATGAACTAAGTGTGGAGGAAGTGGGTCGATGACAGCTTGTTCTAAGCCTGTTGTTAAATCACTAACTGATTTACTCTTTACACATTGAAAATCTACATGGCGTGATTTATTTTCTTCTTCTTCCCAAGACATACGAATAAATGGACATTGAACATAGTTGTAAATTGCTTCCGGTCGAGCACCTGGACGAAATTTTACCCGATCTTTACAAGTTGGATAACCTTCAATGCCAATACGTATTTTTTTAAGGCTACGTTCAAGTAACACTTGTTTGGCTACTTCACGATTTTCAATATATTTTAAAAATCGAAACATTTGTGTACTGTAAATTATATGTGAATTTAACTCATTATCTGGCATTTGTGGAGGATAGTCTGGATCCCAATCAATAGTTTCATCATCTGTTACAATGACAATATGACATTCACGTTCACCTAATTGAGTACACTTGACAAGTAATGAAAGAATATGTGTTTCAAGAAATTGTCCAAATATACCATGTGCACCATCATTTGATAATTCATGTAAAAACGCTCGTAGATTTTCACATCTTACAGTTTGTTGATTGAATGGAATAAGAAAGTAATCACATGCTTCTTTAAGTTCTTGTACTGAAACACCGGGTGGACAAGACATACAACCAGTAAGATAATAATCAAGAATTGTACGAAATACCTGAGCTGAGATAGTTGAATCTTGAGCAATTGAGATATCTGGTGGATGTGTTTGAAAATTATGGTGGATTGTCGTTGTTGATGATGATGATGAATGTGTGGTAGTTTGTGATTTACTATCACTTGGTGAACTGCTTTCCATTGACGTAGACTGAGGATAATTAGTATTGTTAAGATTATCATACAAATATTTAGTCTCTAGAAATTGTGAACTAAACATTCGTCCAAGCATTGTATTAGGATGAGCTTGAAGAAGTTCAGCATCAATGAGGAATCGAACACCATCGACTAATAGACTAACACGCCGACGTCTACTATTAGATGATTGTCTTGAGGTGCTGATATTACGGGGAAAAATACAGAAATAATTAAGAGAATACGGTAGAAACAAAGGTGAATCATACATTAACACATTCGATTCTGGACGGTTATTTTAATTTGCTTGAATGCAAAGGTCTTTGAACAATCTTTGAGCAGTCCAATTCTATACTGTACAATAACTTGAAAGTATTTATGTACTGGTTAGGTGATAAGTACTAATTAGTAGTACGTTAGAAAATCAGAAGTGGACAACGTATATTTTATAGCTGAAACTTTACGATTACGTAGCATGGAAAAGTTTAACCTATCCTCCTTGAGTACTAGTACTTTTTAACATATTTAATGTACTTATTTGCTTTAAGTAACAGCTAGTTTCTTATAGAACTGGGTAGTATTTTAATACTTAAGTAATCCCATATTTGAAAATTAATCAAGTTGTGACTGCTTTTGTGTGAAGAGGGATCTTATGAGAGGTGTTTAGAAGACTGGGTGTTTTCAGCAGGCAAGACTGCATCATACGCGTACTCAAGATTAGTGAGTGGTTTTCTAGGCGGAAATTCGAAAAATAACGGGGTGGGGTGCACAAATATGCCATACAATCCTTTTTGGGTGTAGCATAAAACAATAGTTGTTACAACGGAACGAATATTGTAGAAGTTGGAACTGGTTCATCGAATTATTCTTAATTATAATTTTATTGTACAATTACTAAGTAACTAGATTACCATATATATATATATATATATATATATATATATATATATATATATTCCATTTATCGTAAGCTTTCAGTTAACCCATCAACTACAGTTATACGATTTACCAGTCATATTTTATCGTCAGTCTATTACTTACAGTCTTATCTAATCACAACCACTTTCTGACTTAATCATGCATAAATGTTGTTTTATATTATATGGTGCGATGCGGTCTAGTATGTTTGTTTATAAACAACGTCTGTTTGAAAATATTAATAGAGGCAGGTTACTACTTTGCACTCGGGACAAGATAAAGAGTAAAGTCAGCTAGTAAATTAATAGGAATCTAGCTGCCGGTTCAAGGTCAATAGTACTGGTAGGGCGTCTACTAGGCCGTCAGATACAGATAAATTAAATGACAGATCAAATTAGGATTCTGATTGGTGACTTGGGGAGTGACTTTATTCATTGGTCACAAGACAATAAGTGCCATGCACTCATTGTCCTTGAAAGGTCAGGCAACCCAAAATTAGGTTTAATGTCTTTTTAAAATCCTCTTATGGGTATTTCTACTGACAAATCACTACAGCAACAAATTTAAATAATAAAACTAAGTATAGACTATAACCTAGTGTTTCAGATTTACTCTAGTTAGTAGTTATTTAGGGGATTTTGTGCTTTTTAGAGCGGGTTTTATGTAGGTGATTAGCTATAGTAAGATCTTACCCATGGAAATTAATTTATTTATTTAACACATAAACATTAGTACAAGGAGGCACGAAATAGATATGCGCCATATAAATCATTCGATTTGTGTGAGGGCTGTGATACTTCAAGGATGCCCAAACCAAAGCAGGTGCTTTTCTTAGGAGGTCACACCCCGAGACAATGGAGCAACTTCAGGAGAAGCAGTCCCATGGTAACCGGTGGCCAACAATAGGTACATACACCGCTTGTTTGTTTAGGATCACTGAGCTCATGTGCACCATTGGTTTGGAATCAAGGCTTTCCGAATTCCCTAGGTGGATACTCCATATGCACCAACCCGGTTAAAGCGTCGGACATTCGTTTCTCGTCCTCTCAATTTCGTAAATAACGCCCATGGAAAGTAGCATGTATAATAAAGTTTCACACTGTTTAAAAAGTGTTTTGTCACTAAATTTTACACGTTTTGTACTTTCATTCATATCTAAATTAAATAATTCTTATTGTGTTGTTGGTGTTTTAGAAAGTTGGTTTGTTGTTCTATTTCCAAGGATATTTTAGATAGAATTAACTCAATAACTTTAAACAATCTAAAATCCTCTAAAAACGGCTAAAGATAAACCGTCTATTAATGGGTAACCTGAAGATCAGGGTGCAGCGATGTCCGCATTCATTGTTTATGTTAGTAAATACTAGGAATATTCACTCTTTTTATGTGAGTTCAAGACGAGGTCAGCATGTCCACCAATAAAAGTTTTGCGTAAAGAGGATGACTGCTACACATTTACAACCCAAAACGTGAATTTCCACCACTCAATTAATTTATATTATTGTTTAGCAACAGTATTCAACGAAACCGATTAAATTATATTTAGAGATATTTACTCTGTCATAACAAGTATACGTGACACGATTAAGTCAAAGCGAAATCTCTAAACATGGACAACAACCAATTAGTTGAAAGCTTGGTCCAATACATAAGTTGATGGTGACCGTTCGAACTAAATATTGAAGTTGAAATAGATACTTGACGAAAACTACTTTTAAGTTGAATAAATCTTCAGAAACAAATAAACAAAAAGGCAGAGTACTTACTTAACTGGAGATGCTAAATTCACTTCACAAAATGGTAGCGTTGATAGGGAATAGCGTCTCTGTTCTATGTTTGTAGATTGAAATTGTGTTTGGTTTATGCAACTATTAAGTGTATGGCGACCATCACTACCATTGCGAGGACAAAATAATTTAGTATGTGGTGATGATAACGTAAAATCTAGACCAGAATCGTCGTAAAATTCCCTACTAACACTTGCAGGATTCATAACACCATTATGTCCATGAAATGACCCATAATCTGAATGATAATTTACTTTAGCAGAACTAGAACAAGACTCAGGTGGAGAATCACAATTAACTAGTGAAGTTATTTTATTTGGATGATGGTGATGCTGGTAACTATGTTTATGAAGTAAGGGGTAATTTGTTAAATGGTGATTATTATAACTGTTGTTTGGACAAAAATAGTAGTTTCCACTGCTACCACCAATAGCATGACTACACAAGTGACCTGATAGTGAAGAACATCTATGGTGACAGATATTATTTGCTGTTGTTGTTATTGCCGATGCTAGCGGCTGAGACGTACAAATAGTCGATGATCGTCTACTTAAGTGTATTCGTTCTAATTGTGACGGTAGATATGTTGTAGCCCAGTTATGATTATTATTATTATGACTATTATGATCATGATTACGATATGTGAATGTACACGGAATGTTAGATGTAGTAGGGATGAATGAGTTCGATCGAGTACATGATATATTTGTTAAAGAGTTATTTACTAAACACATTGTATGTCTCACTGAATTCGTTGTTGTCACAGTAGTGATAGGATTATCTGAAACAACAGATTGTATATTTTGATCACTTATAAAACTATTATTATTGTTATTATTTTCATCATCATTATTCATGATATCAATTGGAGTTGTTTCTGCAATTTCAATGCTTGGATAATCCTTAACAGATGATTGATAATTTGTAGACTGTATATTAACTGGTATAGTCAATGGTACCGTTTCTGATGAAGATAATGATGGTAATGGTGATCCAATTGTTGTTAAATTACAATTTACTGAGTAGTTTGTTTGACCTGTATTGGGTAAACCAATTTGTTCATTTATTTCTTTTACACTAGGATCAAATGAAATCCAATTTACACCAATTAAATCATTAGGGATATCCATTAGTGAATACATACATTTAAAATCAGTACCACCATGAGTAGTATGTTGTGTACAACAATAATAATAACGATTATCATTACTATTACTACAGAATGAGCTTCGATTACTATGTGACTGTGATAAATCCAAAGGAATTGGACTAAATGAATGACTTAATATCTCATAATCATTCATATTATAATGCGATAAAACAGATGTGAATGGACGATTAACTGCAACTTGTCTCTGTAAGTTTTGCGTTGTTGTTGAAACAGCAATAGAATTGTCTAGAATTCGGACACGATTTCGTTTATGACGTGTACTATCATTTCGAATATCTGATTTAGTTTTAGTCCAATCTGAAATAACTCCAGAAGGATGTGGTGATACATTTATTGAATTTTTTACTTCACATAATTTATCATTTGGTTGATTACTAATTGACAAATGATCTGTTGTATCAGTTTCAATACTAGTTGTTCTATATTGAAATTGATTACGTCGACGTTTTTTATCACGTTTATTCTCAGAACTATGATTAAGTTTAACTGATGACGATGAACATGATGCACCATATCCACTTTCACCATCTAATTCAATCAATTGTTGGTGATGACATTCATCAGACAATAAATTAATTGTACAATCTTGATCGTGAACATGAAAATTTTTATCACCATATTCTTCATCGATATTATTATCGTTATCAACTTGATCTGTCTCCATTTCTCCATCCATTACCCCATCATCATCAACATCATCAGGATTGTCATCAGATAAATAACTAGGTGAGAAATGCGATGAAGAAGCTGTCGATGTATTTGTTGTTGATCTTAACAAACTATGATGATGCTGTCTTAGCGCAGCGACAACAGCTTGGGCTAAAGGCGGTGCAGGAGAATTGGATGGACTTATAATATCGTCAGTGTTTGACAAACCGTTGACATCATTATTACCATTACATGTATTCATTAGATTATTTATATTCTATAAAAAAGTAAAAGACAACTGGATAACAATACAAAGAATAATCTGCTAATACAAATCGAAACTGATAGCATTCCGAATTCCATCGTCACATTAAGAAGTTAGAGAGATAATTTGTTGTGCTGGAACCAATTATATTACAGAATTAACCAGTTTTGTATGTTATTTTGTCAACGTATTTCCTCCTGGTTTATGGACTATTATCGGTATGATTAATTGTTGTGGTTCATGTTGATCATCACACATATAGTGATAGTCATAATTTGAACAGATACACAGCTACTTCAGTGTTCAGTTTCCAACAGTGAAATCGCGGATGTGCGTTTTATTCAATCCAGGAATCTTCATCTGGATGTGAACACCTCGCAATCATGATATTTGCACTAAAACCCAGACCTAGTACCCATCGCTTCAAACATCGTATTATGTACTAAGCGACTGAGCCATGAATGATAGTCACTTACTTGTTTTTACACTATTTATGTCCGTCCATCGGCAATTCGTCTTATTAAATCCTTCTCTGAAGTGGTGTTATTTAGGAACAACAAAATTCGAGTGAACAACTAATTTGTACGTAATTCCATCATCAAATCTATTTGTTCATGTGAAGGTTATATTAGTTAAATTAGTTGCCCTGTATTTGACTCCAATTAAATCGTTTGCTGATAGTTATCAAAATATACATGCCATTTTTATCGACTTAATTCACGTTAGAGAATAACGGAATAAAATAAGTCAAATACGAGAATGAAGTTTGAATACGTATATTTCGTACACTCATTGGTCTGAACAGATAATCAGAAAAATGAAGAGAGACGAAACAACGCGCGGTGGAGAAGGCGAGTTATCCAACTCGTATTGATCAATCATGACTCAATATTTTAATTCGGACAAAAAGGTCGACCCTAAAAATGCACACCTCGCCTTATCCCACGGATATCCGTCTCCGGCGGTAAGGTCTCAATAAGTACGGAGCTAACACAAAAATTACCCATAAAAAGGTCGTGTGTGACCGACCTCAAGCAGTTGTCCCTTGGGCACTGCGGTCACGCTCTCAGGTCACTAAGACCACCTTTAATCCAAATTCCTTTTCAGGTACCTCCAGAAGAACCCTTCCACGGTGTGGGCAACCGGGAAGTGAAAACCGTCCTCATACCTCTAACAGCACTCAAGACCACTTTATTCATAATCAACCTTCCTCTTCAATTCCTATTATTCCTCCTACATCGACTTTCAACTTTAAATTTCCTCTCTTGGCTTCCACCTCAAGTGTCACCATAGCCAACGATTCTAGTGCGCAAAATACTGTCCCAGGTCTACTGAAACCTCGCTCCAAACTACACATTGGAGCCTTCAACGTACGAACCCTATGTCAAATCGGTCAGCAGGCTTCCTTGGCTAAAACCCTAGAGTCTCTTACCATTGACGTGTGCTGTGTCTCCGAAACACGCATACAGGATTCCAGTGTGGTCATTCACTTGACCTCACCTCGGCAAAACGGAGAGCCAACGAGGTACACCCTTCGTGTATCTGGTGACCCGATGGCAAGTTCTCGTGGACTGGCAGGTGTAGGCATAGCACTAAGCATGAGGGCCGAACAAGCACTGCTAGAGTGGATCCCCGTCAACAGTCGTCTATGTGCTGTTCGGCTGAACGGCTACGTAAGAACTCGGAAGGATAGGGACACACGTCGTTGCCTTTTTGTCGTTTCTGCCTACGCTCCCACTGACTGCAGCTCAGATGATGTGAAAGATGAATTTTACAGAAAGCTGTCCGAACTTCTTCAGAAAGCTAAACGCTCAGACATAGTACTCGTAGCAGGTGATTTTAATGCTCAGATAGGTAGCTTAAACCAAACAGAAAGGCATTTAGGTGGATATTTTAGTATTCCGACACAGCGAACAGATAATGGTGATCGTCTGCTGCAGCTATGCTCAGACAATCGTTTATTTTTAGCAAACACAAATTTTAAGCATAAGGAGAGACATCGTCTAACATGGCGACCCCCTACACCAAACCAACGATGGACTCAAATAGACCATATTGCCATCAGTCATCGTTGGAGAGGGTCGGTAGAAGATTGTCGCTCATTCTGGAGTACCTGCTTGGACTCCGACCATGCCCTAATACGGGCACGCATCTGCTTGCGCCTCACTGGACGCAAAAAAGCCACATTAAAAAGACCCGTTAGAACTGAGTTGAGTAACGAGAAAACCAAAAGTAGGTTCCAGGAACAACTGAGGTCACACTTAGGTAGTTGTGAAGACGAGGCTGACCCAGATGTTGCTTGGAAGGGCATACAATCAGCTGTGGAAACAGCAGTGACATCTATTAGTGACTTAAACCACAGAGTTGCAAGGAACCAGTGGATTTCTTCAAGGTCTGTCACACTGATGGATTCTCGCAAACTCGTCCCATCAGGTTCTGAACATGATGAAGAGCGAAAACAAATCAGATCTAGGTTAAGAAAAAGTCTAAGAAACGACCGTGAGCAGTGGTGGGCATCGAAAGCAAAAGAGATGGAAAAGGCGGCGACTATAGGGAACACAAGACAGCTTTACAGACTAATAAAAGAAACTGGAATTAATAAGTCAAGTGTAAGTGAGATTATATCGGAAAAAGACGATACACTCATCTGCTCCAAGTCCAGGCGTTTAGAACGATGGGCGGAACACTTTAGGGAACAGTTCAGCTGGCCTTCAGCTACTCTACAACTACCCTCCATTCCCAGACAGTGTGAATGGAACATTGAAGTAGGTCCCCCGACTCTTGCTGAAGTTCAAAAGGCTATAGTTAATCTGAAACGAGGAAGGGCAGCTGGTCCAGATGGATTAGCTCCAGAGGTCTTTAAGGATGGTGGTCCAATTTTAGCGATTAAGTTGACTAATATTTTAGCTAAGATCTGGGAATTAGACTTTATCCCATCTGACTGGTCGCAATCACTTATCGTCCCAATATATAAGAAAGGGTCAAAATCATCCTGTGACAACCACAGAGGGATTAGTTTAACAAACATAGTATCTAAAATACTGGCCTCGATAATTATCAAACGCCTAACTAAGACTCGTGAACTACAAACTCGAGAGAACCAAGCTGGCTTTAGACCTGGTCGTGGCTGCATCGACCACATATTCACCATTCGTCAGGTTCTAGAACACAGGCATACTTATCGGCGTCCGACGATGGTGGTATTTCTTGACTTAAAAGCAGCATTTGACTCCGTAGACCGCGAGATTCTGTGGCAGTGTCTGTCATTGAAAGGCGTACCTCAGAAGTACATAAACCTTGTGAAGGCTCTTTACTCGAACACTACTAGTCGAGTCAGGGCTTATGGCGAACTGTCATCTACTTTTGCAACCTCAAGTGGTGTCCGTCAAGGCTGTCCACTTTCTCCATTTTTGTTTAACTTCATCATAGACCTATTGATGGAAATAACACTCTCGTCGACTGAATTCTCGGGTATTGATCTCCTTCCAGGAGGTCCACTTATCGACTTAGAATACGCAGATGACATAGTCCTGTTTGGTGAAGACGCTGACAAAATGCAGAGTCTTCTGGTAGCACTAAGCAACAATGCCAGAATGTTTGGGATGCGCTTCTCTCCCTCTAAATGCAAGTTGTTGCTTCAGGACTGGTCTCCGTCAACACCTGAACTAAGGATAGGGAGTGAAGTAGTTGAACGCGTTGACAACTTCACTTATCTTGGAAGTCTGATCAGCCCTAATGGGTTGGTGTCTGACGAAATCTCAGCACGGATTCGAAAAGCTCGTTTGGCTTTTGCCAACTTACGTCACCTTTGGCGAAGGCGAGATATCCGTCTATCAATAAAAGGACGAGTATACTGCGCGGCAGTCCGTTCTGTCTTACTTTACGGCAGCGAAACATGGCCTTTAAGAGTGGAAGACACCCGTAAGCTACTAGTATTTGACCACAGATGCCTTAGAAATATTGCTGGCATCTGCTGGGATCACCGGGTAAGTAATAGTGAGGTTAGACGCAGGGTATTAGGGAATGATGGTAAATCAGTTGATGAGGTTATGAATCTTCATCGACTGAGATGGTTGGGCCACGTATTACGTATGCCTGAACACCGATTACCACGACGTGCAATGCTAACCGGTGTAGGGGATGATTGGAAGAAAGTTAGGGGCGGCCAAACCAAAACGTGGCATCAGTGCCTGAAGTCACTAACTTATAGTCTGAGCCATGTTGGTAGATGCAGACTACTTGGTTGGGGTCCGCGTGACTTTCGTAACCAATGGTTGGAGACTCTTGGTGACATGGCTCAGAATCGATCACAATGGCGTCGGTGTATACACTCCCTGTCTTCCCTTAAACTAAGAGACTAAAATCACTTCATTCTTTCTGTCTACGAACTAATTCTTTCTTCCTATACTATATCCTTATTGCAACCTTTGACCTAACCACTCCTATGAATCCGCTGTTCATCTTGCTGTGCTAATGAGGTATGGCAACCTGGACCGATGCACATATGTGCCTGGTCCTACGTTGTAGCTGACTGACTGCGATTCTACGGTAGGATAAGCAATTGACACACATACGATCATATAAAAACAGTCAGGGTTAATAACTGAATAGTTGACGAGATCAAAATGTGGCTTGGGAAGAATGTGTAACTTTGTCTGTTCAGAAGCTAGAAAAGCCTATATGGGTTTGACATAATAGCAGGCACTACAAGTTATTCAAAGACATTAGCAAACAGAGCTGAAAACAATCGCAACTTTTACTTCCAATTATTTTTTATCTGGAAGAGCTCATTCTACAAAATTATTGAAAATAAACAGCCAAAATAATTCTTGCAATATAAACTTTAACAAACGGACTTACATTGTTTATAGCTTTGATAGCATCAACCGAAGGAGGTGGGCTGCGAGACTGACTTCCATGCTTATCCAAGAATTCTATATGTGAGTGCCTACGCCTTGCTCCCAATGATGTTGAAGAGGATGCCTGAGCAATAGATGGTGGAGAAGAGAAGCTACTTGGCTTTGATTTAAAAGAGATATTTTTATTGACACCACTTGTAATTGCGTCACTGGTACATGCAACATTGGGTTCATAATATGAAGAAACCTCACAGAGTGTTCGTTGAAATGATCCAGGATCGATGGATTTTAAATTACTGGTAGATGTAGGTATAGGGCCAGTAGAACTGGATGACCTGAGGACTAGGCATGGTTTGGCTGCGACACGATAGTGAGTAGGATTTGACTCTTGGTCACAGACTACGCCAAATGGCCTTGAAACGCTACCAGTGCTGTGACTTCGACTTCGACCAGATACGGACTGATCAGATCTGGTAATTGAAAGATATATGCTATGAGTAGCTGTTAATGGAGTAAGTTATAGATTATGTTACCAGTTATCTCATGTGATATCGAAAGTTTGTATTTGAAGTAACTGTCAGAATAAAGTATCTAATGTTTTAAATTGGAACTTTCACAGCTTTAGAGGGTTAAAGAGCTATCATCCGAGTTTTACATGATTAATGTATTTATTAACGATTTATACGGACGCTCCTATTAAGAAAATATATGTTATGCTCCAGATTCCTAAGAGACTAACATTGTAGTTTTGACAGATGGGATGGGACAGTCGACTATAATAACAAAGTGAAAATTTAAAAAATATCTGACGTGTCTCCATATCGGGAGCGTTCGGCAACTAATCATTACGAATGCTACTTCTTAGGTAATAATAAATAATCAAATCTTAGGTACCTAAATAAACCAACGTGATTCTAGTCGTTAAATCTTAATTTGAGGATAAAAGGTCTAGTTAGTACTGAATATATGGCATCAATAAATAGTTGGATGGACATTTTCACATAATATAAACTCGATATAGTTGATGATCACGAACATCTGTGAGGCATTTCCCATTAACAGTGGACTTGTTAAATGAAGAAATGCTGATGTAAGGTATTAGAGAAGTTATTAGGTTACTAGGATTAGGCAATGGACATTTAGAAATATGACACACCTAAAGAATATCAGTTAAGTTAGCGATATTTCCGAAGTCTTAGGAAAACAAAATTAAATGCTGCATTGTAATCGTTGGTCGATTTCCTGAATAAAGAGACAACTTATGGGTTCTTGTAAAAGCCTCGATAGTAAAAGTTGGTGGTTTTCAAATACTCCGCTTTTATTCATATTTTTATTAAGGTTTACAATTTTACTCGGCTGCTGAAACCAAAATAAGTCAGTGGAGTACGGACCTACAACTTGATGATTAAAAGCTACTTTTTCTACATAGTGATCCCAATAATCTTTATCATTGGTTTAACAACTACACTGGTTAGAATAGCGGGTCGATAGTTACTAAGTCTCTGCTCCCCATCTTATAAACAGAATCAAGAATTACGTCTCTCCAGTTTCATCGGAGTTTAGACTGTCTCGAAGACGCGCCGAACAGTATTACCAGGGGTTCAGCAATTATATCCACCAGGGCTTTTATAATCTTAAAGTGAGTATCGTCGGGACCAAGAGGCTTATCTGGTTTGGGACGTTAAAGTAGTCATAAGACAGCTCCTTTCTCAATAACCACAAGATCCATCGACAAGCCACCATTATTACAATCAATTGTTAGTCCTTTATCATCGTTGACAGAAAACACTTTATTAGAGTATCGACGGATTTTCTTGCACCAAAAGTGGTAGGATCCCATTAGCTTTCTGAGTGCGCCACTTAATATATGAGGACGGTTTTTTCGGACTACTTTCACAGTCCTTAACCAATTGCTTTTCATGCGAAAGTCTGGGCTTACTTATTGACGCTCCACACGTGTTCCTATTGAATCTGTACTGTTCAGATGCCGTAGAAGTAAATATACTCAAATACTTTTTACTATGTCTTACTTGAACAGTAAAACATACAAAGCTATTGAGATTTAAGCTTCGAGGATTTTTGTTTGAGGTAGGTTTTAAACAAGTATAATCCTTGTGTAACCACATTTTACACATACCACATTGCATTCCTTTTTCCACAAGGAAGAAACACTCTGGCTATCCACATTCATAAGCACAGCTTACCGTTGTAAATGAACTTAAAAGGGGAAAAACCGACAAAAATGCACAAGATAGCTACTAAATTGGGAATCAAATAGTGTCACGAAACGAACTCGAGGAGAATTCCAAAACCTAAACGAAGTGATTCAGGTTAAAGTAAACCAAATGTACTTTGGATACAACAAATACACAGACGTAAAGTTAGTCACAAGTACGAAATTACTGCTTTCTTAAAATCCACAAAAATGAACGTGGGACTGAAATGGACTGTGATTGAGGTGTCTCAAAAATCCGATACGGAGCAAACGGTTTTTCACAGAAGCACTAACGTGATTTATAAATTACTCTGACCATAATGGCATCCTTTATCTTTTAGGAATATAGCAGACTGAGTCCTTACAGTCCATAAATATTGGCCGAATCCTGTTAGCCAATAAACAAAGTTCACCAGTTGGTCGTCACAAAATTCACTTATCCTTGGAGACAATTCCAGAACATCCTAATCTCATTATCTTGCACACATTTTGGGGTTTTCCCCAGATTATTATAACATTCCGTGAAATTATTAGGGAAAACCAAAAACTTCCCCAAATATTTTGGTAACTATTCCAAGACTTGGGGAAATTCTGAGGTTTTGGCGCTGTTTCCCTGAAGTTTTCCATAGCAGTTTTTCCTAAAATGGACAAAATTCTCCCCAAAATAGGGGGATTGGGATTTATGCCACCAAATTTGTGAACCTTGGTGAAATCGTCAAAAGGACTTACGATGGATCCAGAGGAGCATCATTTTTTACAACGTGAACATTATCATTCTCAAGCGACATAACAATGTAGGGGAACTGTTTTGTCACTTCTTGACAGGACGGCAAACCGACGCACTCGGGAATAGGTCGAACGCTCCAAGGTTAGCCTTTTGAAGAGCTGGACCGATTTAATAAAACAACTGCACTCCGATCGAAATAGTAAACTGAAATCACAAAGTTATTGCTGGAAAGAATGCTATTTCTCGTGAGCACTATTTATGGTAGCAAGTCGGGGCTGAAATAAGAGAAGCTTATCGGTATAGTGTTGTAGAAATTGTTGAGTTGTAATTGAGATTGATAATTATCATCCAGTCTTCAGTAATAAGTATAGGTGGTCTGTCAACCTATATTACTCCTTGCAGTTTGTAACACTGTGGAGGTTCAATCTCGTTTTCAATATATCAACAGAAAGTGCTGGTATTAGGTGTTCTGGTAGGAAATTCCAGTAATTCACTACTCGGTGCGAAAAAATAAACTCCAGACGTTTATGATTTGATCTTGGTTTTTGAACTTCCGTCGAATGTCCTCTCAGATGGTTAGTCTTTGATGAAAGGAAAAGATGGGACACATCAGTATCAAGGTCATCGCTCAGTAAACCATAACTGAAATAATGTGAGGTGTCTCAGTCTATCTTCATCAGATGGCTCAGTGAGACCTTTTACTATTTTAGTCCCTCGTCGTTGAACTCGTTCCAGCATATCCGCATCATACTTGAAACAAGCACTCGCTGCTTGAATCCCATATTCTAAATGCGATCTCACGAATGTCGGGGTATAATAACCTAATGATTTCTCCATCCGATTACTGAAAAGACCTACGAATACCCTATGATACCCTATAGCCTTTTGCAGCAGCAGCCTTACAGTTACTATTAGTTTTGAGATCGCTCCTTATTATGACTTTCAAGTCTTCATAGATTCTTACTTTAGGGCAATACGAATCCACATATTGTGTAGTGATACGAATCATCACCACACTCTTGTTATGATTCACTTCAAGTGACCATTCGTCCATCCATGCCACCAATGAGTTGAGATCGTCCTGTAATACCATTGTATCTGACATACTGTGTATGGGACTCCAAATCTTTATATCGTCGGCGAAGAGTAGAACGAATGACTTTGCTACGGTTAATAATTCATTTGTATAAAGTAAAAAGAGAAGAAGACCGAGGATTGTGCCTTGGGGAACTCCACCTTTTACAGGTTCCCACGATGAGAGAGCCCCATTTACCCTTACTATCCTCCTTGTAATGGAGAAAGTCACTTATCCGGTCTATGACCTTATAATCAATTCCAAAACTTTCCACGTTTAATTTAAGACCTGAATGAGCGACCTGATCAAAGACTTTACTTAGATCTATGAAAACCACATCTACAGGAATATTCCGATCCTTAGTCATAGCCCAATCTATTGTAATTGGTGGGTCATTCAAACATGATGGATCTTTCCGAAAACTATATTGTTCCCTGAATAAAAGATTATGCCCTTCGACATAGTTTGTAGCAGTCATTAGTTTTTCAAATACATTAGTTAGACTAAGGGGTCGATAAATACTAACTAAGTCTCTGATCCCTGCAGCATACACCAGACTGATTATTGCGTCTTTCCGGTCCCTTGACAATCTGGACGGTCTCAGAGACATATCAAACGGTATGGCTATAGGTTGAGCAAGTACATCCGGTGGGGCTTTCATAATTATATAATGAATATCATCACGACCATTGGACTTATCAGATTTGGGATGCTGAAGTAGTCTTGGGACAGTCCCTTTCTCAATAACTACAGGATCTATCAACAAGCCGCCACAATCAAAATTAATCGTTGGTCGTTTCTCATTGCTGACAGAAAACATTTTACTGAAGTATTCCGATAAAGCTTCAGCTCTTTTGGCACCATCTGTTGCCAATATTGACGGATTTTCTTGTACCAAAAGTGATGGACCTCCAACCCTTCTCTGAGTTCGCCATTTTGTTTACGAGAATAGCCGTTTCGGACTTATTTTACAACCCCTAACCAACTGTTTTTCATACGACAATCTAGTCTTACTTATTAATACTTTATAAGCATTCCGAGTCTTATCACGTGCTAACTAATGACTAGCTTCCAGAGTCAATGCTCGGAGTTGTAGTGAGAAGCTATGACTAGTGGAGTTCGACCGTGCCAGGTGTGAGGCATTCACTCAATGGATGGTGGTCGAATAATATCAATGATTGGTTGAAGTTTCGCATAAACATCATTGGATGCCAGCTAACTGATCTAGAGATAAGCATTCGCGTGAAACCGAAGATCCTGGTTTCCAGTGCTTATTGTGAGACTGTGTATGCCCACTACCAAGGAGTCCCATACTACCACGAATTGACCGTCTAGTACTTTCAAATTTTCAATCATGGTCTAAAACTAATGAGTTGATGATCTCCCTTTAAGGAGAGATTAATCTTGGAAACAGATTTAAAATTGATTACATAGTAACTTTGAAGTCAATGTGGTCATAAGAGCGCTGTTGGTCTATTTGAAATGTAAATTGTCTCACTGATTTTGCGTTATTATTGGTCTAATTTTATCTGGGTGATATTCACATATCAAGTGTACGATAAGATGAAGAATGTAATGAAGATCTAGATGTATCACCTAGATGATGCAACATACTTAGTGAAACCGAATGCATCCAAGCGGATTAATATTCCTAATAGTTATTAAAGGACAGACGAACACCAGTTGCCGTAAATGGATCTCGGGTAAACCATGGAAAAAGTTTTGAATTCAAGGTAATACATATCTTGGTTAGCTGTTGAGATGCAGCTTGAATCTGAGCAACCATTAAAATTCCTGTAGTATGTGGTAGTGCAGGATATTTAGATATCTGGTTTACTGTCCCTTGTCAAATGGAGTTGTATTAAAGTGCTTAAATATGCTCCGAATAGTTTTGTTCGGCAATTGCGAAGGATCTACGTATGGTGACTAGTACAGTGTAGCCGAATTTGTGGACCGGACTACTGTAAGATTTACAGGTGAATTTAGGAGTTATTAACTATGTCACTCCATCCAGACTTGGATTTGTGATTCATGTTCATTGCGGATGTGCTTAATTAGGCTGGCTTCATGTATGCGTAAGAGAGTCAAAATTTTTATCGAACGTAGAACGTGTTGTAATAAACGCGTTACATATGCCGCAATTATTTATAAAGATTTTTTAAAACAGCTATTTAAAGACTGTATAACGTTTACAAGAGCGAGGAGAAACATAAGACCATTAATGAAAACGGCAAAGATGATGTAAGCATCTTATGATCCAAAGCCATATTTTAATGACTTCCCACAAGTAATGTTCTTAAATGGATACTATGGATTTGATTTGCCGCCCCATGACACCCTGTGATTGACCATGATTTATTAGAGTATCTGCACAAACCGGTTGGTTAAGGAGGACGTCTTCGGAGACATGCTAATCTATTCAATTCACTTGACAATTTTTCTTTTGTAATTAAGGTGACAGAAATATGTTTTAAGGAAGAAGTAATGCGCATTTAAGAAACGGTCCCACAGGAAAAGCTCACTGGCAAAATTAATAATGACATTTTTAAATTATCAAGATCCTTCGGTATAATCTTATGTAAGGAAACATATTCATTAAAGACTTTCAAGTACACGAAGACCCTAGAATTATTACGGAACGATTTAGTGGATACGTTTTTGACTCAGTATCAAGCGAAAAACCACTAAATGAATCAGAGTCTATCCCGTTGCTTTCTTGCAAATTCACTCATACAAACTCTAATGTGTACAATTTTTTTAAGGCTTTTAGCACGCTAAAAAGAATAGACGGTATATCAACTAGTATGCTAAAAAAGGTGGAGGTAATCTCTGGTTAATACTTTCAGGACGATTTGGAATATCACTTATGACAGCATGTTTTGTTGCTTCCTGTTAAACTACACGTCATTCCGAAGATTATATCAAGAGCACAAGCAAATACTGAAAACTGCTAGCCTACAAACATCATCTCTGAAATATCTAGAGGGTTGAGAAAAAGGGTTAAGATGGCAGTAATTCAATATATACTTGCTAATAATCTCACATCTACTTACCAGAGTGGGCTTTTAAGGACTAGGTCATACGATAGGCACCTACTGGACTATCTGAATGATATAACTTTAAAGCGAGGCGACGAACTTCACATATCAGTCCTATTGGTCGACTTTAAGAAGGCTTTCGGCAAGGTGTCACATGAAATACTAAAGTTATTCGGAATTGGTAACTCATTACATTCATGTTTTACTGCAATTCTAACCGAACATAAACCAATAGTAAAGTATGATGACTTCCTCTTATCAACAAAACAGATTTTAGGGAGCAGTTACCTACAGTTATGATTCCGAACTACTTCCCAGACTGTCTATCACAGAGTTTTATTTTAGCCAAGGTCAGAACTAGTAAACTATTTCGCTTGATAAACCCTATCTGTTTCTCAAATATAAACTAGCACTGTAAGTATGTAAAATAAACAATAATACAGTCCAGTAAACAGGGAGGGACAATTAGCATACTGGGCAGTAACCAGAAGACAAAAATATAGGTCGAAAAACCCAATATCTTTTTTGATAAAAATTTCAGAAAATGACAATAAATTCTCAAACAACAATATATTACATGTGGTATGTAAGTCTGCAGGCAAGATCAAATTGTTACAAATAATAAAGGCTTCACTGTAGTAAGTTACTTAGATAGGTTGATATGTTTTAAGGCGCACTGTTTACAACAGCCCTCACATATGAATGTAAAAAATGTTAGCAGGACTCGAATTGTCAATGTAAGAGTTGGTGCTTGCTATGTGTAATCGATGGTCTAGAATGAACTCACGTAAACGCAACATTATATCCCTCTAGCATATCTGAGGTGTTAATGGGGGCTCAGCTTCAAGTTACATGTTCCGTATGTGTTTTCGGTGGCACATCACGAGGGTGCTGAAAAGGAGAGTAAAAAAGATAGGAAGCGAGGCAAAAATGTTCATGACTAGTAAAGTTGAGTTCTTGTGATGAAATAAATAGGGTATGACTACTTAGACTTATTCTTTTTTAGTAATCCGGTTTTTAAGCAAGAGAATTTTAATAGGTTAAAGAGAACAAAACTAAGCATGGCGATGAATGGACAACGAACTGTATTAATGAAGGTGACGAGAAAAGAAGTTGAGAGTTGAGGATTGTATGTAGTTTTGTAATATAATATGATATTGAAAACACAATATTCGGATACACAAATGGCTTTCTCTCCTGTTATCGTCAAAGCTTCCTTATAATATTATGGATTTTGTAGGGTGATGAATAGACTTCATTTTAGCGTAATTAACTAGTTTTGCTTTTATTAAGATTTATCGGCATGAAGTCAAACCCACTCAGGGCAACAAGTATGAGTCAAAGAGGTTTTTGGCATAATAAATTAGCGTCGGTACTATTGTATAGTTACATCCCGTCAGACCATAATAGGCCGTAATTTAACAAAATGTCTTCCTCCACAAACTTGCTTAAATTGAAATTATCTTCCAACCCTCATATTTTCTGGCCAGTAATGCCACCCTTCGTCCTGTGATATTAATCTATCTTACACTTACAGCGGAGGTCAGATATTGACGTTACTTATATGAGGCTGGTTTTATACTTCAAAAGATAGACCAAATGCTACAAAAGATAAACCACAATAAATTAGAAATACATGAGACCATTGTTAAATTCTGTTTTTAAGAAGTTGTAAAAGAAGCTGGCGTCTCAACTTTGGGACAAAAAGGGTCAATTTTAGGCAGACTTCGGGCCAGTTTTATCGTAAGATTTTGGTGAAATTAAGGAATATACAATAAAAACCCGAAATTCACCTAGGTCTGTATCTTTTCCGAAATTCATTGAAGTCTGGTATTTTTACCCAACATCAACACAGATTTAAAAAACGCTGTGCATATATTTGCAAAATTCTGTCTCGGATTACTAATGGTCATCAGTTAACACACATACATTTTGAATGATCGTATTAATGATATTTGTCCCGTGTTACAAAAACTATCGAACAGACAAATACTTTGCCACTAAAAAGGTTTCCTCCTCGTTTTATGAATGTACAAAAAGATAGTGCTTCTTACTTGACATCCAGATAAAGTTTACTTGTACTGACATTACAATTGACCCGAACCAAAATGTACTTATTATTATCAACGTTTTGTTGCACACACAACCTTGATTTTGTGAACTACTGTCCGTGAGAAGCCCCACAACCTTGAACCTTAAACCATGCATTACAGCTGTTCATCCCAAGCTTCACATTTCCTGAACCGGTTCACAAAACCCAGTTCTCCCTTGTAGTTTTAATGCCAGTTAGCACTACTGGATTTACCATGGGAGCGGATCACTCTACGAGATCGTAAATGGTAGAAATTACGCAGAACCTCCAGCTCGAACTAACAAACGCCCAATTCCTATGGGCTGGCCAACTGGGTAGAAGGAAACAGACCTTGGTCACAGTAACATATCATTCTTGCCATGCACCTTCCAGAGATTCTTTAGCAAGATGGTATTAGCACGTTGCAACTACCCATGTCTGCAAACATTAGCAACTGTGTCAATGACGTGAGTTTGGAGTATTATGTTCGACAGTAGTAGTTTTATTCCCGAAGCTCACTCACTGTTCATTCCTCATATCCATACACAACCATTGACGTTCTTGATTTTTCAACGATAATCTCAACCGGAAGCTCACCACAAGTGTGAAACGACATAGTAATACAGCTTATGCTCTTTGCTGTTGTAGTAATTGAACATCACTAAGTTTTACACCCTACAATGTACGTTTAGATACGCTCATTCATACTGCTGAATGCACAAATCCAAAAATATCTATCTAAATAATTGAAAGTAGAGCAGTCGAGCGATCAGACTACTGTTCATTGCACATTAGCAAACAAATCAGGAAGTCGGTGTAAAATATCAAGTGGTTGATACAAATTCGTCGCAAACATATTTTCTACTGAATACATTGGACATTCGCTGTAATCATAGAAACTGTTTCCGAGCTTTTTCAAAACGATGGCCTTGAATGACCAAAATAAAAAAATTTACTTCAAAGAGAAAGAAATAAAAGACGTTGGACCCTCAGTAGATTCAGATGATATCGAACAAAGGATTGCCGCTCGACGCATAAGAATTCAAAACAGGTTGGAGCGCTTAAGGCAAGTTCATCATATATAATAATTTTTTTACGATGAAAATAGAGGCGACGTTCACTCTAATGAAACTAAGTCAAACAAAAAAGAGATTGGGTTGGGGAGATCTCAGATCGATCTGAGTAGTAAAAGAATATCCAAACTTATTAGTGATGGAGACGCTTTTATAACTAACATTCGGGTTGCATGTGATGCACGTGAATACTTCAAAAGAACTGAGGACCATGAACTTAATCATAACAGAATTCGCGTTTTGGAAGACGAAGCAACGAGAAGCCTAGAAGTATTCAATAAAGTATGACAGTTCTCTTCAGTAAAAGTAGCTTGATATGTTTGAATATGTGCATTTAGGGACAAAATCAACTTATTTTTCCGTCTTAGTTGTATGAATCCTGAGGTAATATGAATGGGTACAGCTATTGGTAGCTTTCAAAATAGGCTTTTAGAGGTAGGCTGTGAAACAATGCCTATTATGCGTTTTAGCCAGCTGAATACGCTCATGACAATCTTAACAGATAACAGATGTTTTTTAGTGGGTTGATGTATTTTAAGTCCCATTACTTTGTCTGGAAACAATAGTGTGTGTAAATACAGCAAAACGCTAGTTATGAAATAGTATAACTTAACTTCTAACCACATGAAATAAAAAATCCCTTATAGCCCAACTTTTGTTTTCCATTAGTAATGTATCATAATGATCTCTTGAGATTCAGATTTTCCTTGGTCACTAGAAGTGAAGCAACTCATACTTTAACGGGAAAAGTGGGCACCATGGATTTAGGAATAAAGATTCAGATAAATTTTGAAATGGAAAGTAGTTAGTTGCGGACACTAACAGATCATGTTTTAAATGAGATAATGTGTTGCAAGCCTTTCTATATGTTTTTTCAGTCCCGTAGAGATATAAACTGGATAAACATACAGTACTTCGACTCTAAATTCCAAGTTATTTGTTGCCTCAGATGAACTATAACTAGTTGGTTGTATATATCATTATTGTTGGTTTAGTAGCTTGGTAGATCTTGATCTCTGCCGTTAAACGGTCTACACCTAAGGTGCAGCTTGGTAACTTTACTGGAAAATGCCTAAATTTTGAGCCTACCAGAATCGCTCCGGACTATATGAATATTTTAACATGTGAGTACTTTTATCCAACTGGCTTCATGTTTAGAATTGTCTACGCGTGCATGAATTTAAAACCCCTGGATATGTCATCGATGACTCTCTGAAAAGTTTCTGCGGTACTTCTTAAACTAAAAAGTATACGCAAGCATTCATATAGTCCTAAGGAAGTGATAATAGACGTTGTAGAAATGTCACCTGCGGCCAGTTATGAGTTTTGATCAGATCGATTCCTGAGAAAACAACTGTACCGCTCAAAGTAGCTGTCAAGTCGTGGACGTGTGGACAGGGGTGAAAATCATGAGTAGTTTTCGTATTCGGTCACCGATAATCATCAATCTAAAGCTAGTCGTCTCTGCTTTGTTTTCTAAGGGCCATGTTTAAAGGAGATGGCCATGAGCGGTTTGATGGCCGGATAATTCACATGTCTATCATATGCTAGAATTCGTTTTTAACCAATCTTAACTTTTCAGGAGCTAGTCAGCGCCCTTTTGAAAATACAGGCGGTTTTGTAGTCGTGATATAGTGAGTAACATTCTGGTTACACACGATAGTTAAAGGTACTCATCGAGTGTCTGATGGAAGTATAGATCTAATGTTAAACTGTGACCGGGAATAATCTGCAACCAGAAAATGAAGTTCCACAAACAGATAATTTAGTATTTCCATCCACCAACCTCCGTTTGCTTGGGTCGATGAGTAGAATACAGTGTTATAACAGGAACATCTGCCATAACGAAAATCCAGTGAATGGGTTTTTCGTAAACCCACGTTATGATAGACATATATTTTGACGTACGTGGCAAACCACTTTTATTATCAGAAATGGGTTTTCTGGGTATTATAGTAATTTAGTAGTTAAATTGATGAGTCAATTGAAGCTAGACCATCATAGAAGACCTGGAAGCACTGGAAGGCCGTTTTGTCCTAGTATGGGACTCCTCAACAGTGCGCATCCATAGTCCCACCCCGTAAGATTCAAACCCAGGACCTATTAGTCTCGCGTCATCCGTAAGTTGAAGACCAGATCTTGTAGACGATCATTAGTACCCGTGGGGAGAATGCATACTTCCGCGCCAGTGTCTACGCAATGGTGAAATTCCGTCATCAAATCAGTAATGTGTGGCAGACGGATATTTTCACCGGCTACGGCTATCCTTAACTCATACCGGAGGGGAATTTTCCAGGAAGGCTTGTCGTGATAGAAGGTTCAGGGTGGAGGAAACAGCAGGGTTTTCTGCAATTTTCGGAAGAATCATCATACTTGTTATGGTACCGACACCGATCGGGTTTATCTGTTTCTTGTGGTTCACAGAAAGATCTTTTACGCAACAGGCTTGTTAATGGAGTTTTGGAACGTCCGAGATTATGATGAATAGTAAGAAAACGAGTGACAGTACCTTGGTAGGTCTTAAATGTCGTTTTATGTAGTTTGAGGTCTTTCTTTGACATAAAAAGCTCAATACTGAGGGTTCTGGTGATCTTCAGAGTTCTATAGGCAGATGAAGTCGGTTCATCCACGGCGCTATTTCGAAACGAGACAACCACCGCTCTCACCTGTTGGTGAAGCAGAGTTGTCCAAAGAGACCTTTGTTGAGAGCCCATTGATCAATGACTCCCACACACGCACCAAAATTTCTGTTGCTGAGCCGTATGGGAATTCGGTCTTGTGGAAGAGCTGGTCATACCGTTGTCAACTTCTTAGGTCTTCCTGTTTAGTTACAACCTTTTTTAGGATGACGTAAGGTTCGGAAACGTCGCTAGTAAACATATTAAGTGTAACATATCCATCAAAGTATAGCGGCAGTGCTTTACTACTACTACTACTACTACCACTACTACTACTACTACTACTACGACTGCTACTACTACTACTACTACTACTACCACTACTACTACTACTACTACTACGAGGAGTCGTGCACGTGGGTCTATCACACCATGCCTGTGAAAGTCGATTTCTGCGCAGCAGAATTTGACTTTGATATTATAAGATCATAATGGCTTGAGTCAAAAAGCTACAGGAGTAAGAGTCTTAATCTACAGGAGTTTGAGTGGTCATTTTCTCATTATGAGGATGAAATATATAAATGGGAGAAAAAAGTGGAGAATACAAAAATACCGCCATACGTAAAATGTGACATACCATATTAAAACAGGGAAAAGACCCACAGTTTACCGTTCGGTGCATCAGACCACGTATGCCTCACTGCTAAAGATGCTACAGATATTCAGAATTTGACAACACTTTCGTCTGTAACACCTATACAATCAAAGGACTCCAACCCAGTTAGATCAAAAGCCATGAATAAATGTGTTCAGTAATATATTTGAAAGGTTGTTGACATTTTGAGAAGAGTTTAATCTAATCTGGCTAGTAGTTACAAGGGGTGCGTAGCACGGCATACTTACTCGTGATTTGATGCGGTTTCGTGACCGAGCGCCATCAGCTAGATGTGCCTAGTAAAACTGATGCGGTCAGCATCAAATGTCGGAGACTTATAGAACTATTTATTTCGGGGATTTGTTTATCTTCACAAGTACTCTCAAAACTTCTCATAATTATTCACTAAATAAGTGAAATGTACTAGAGGGAGCCACTTTTCACGAAATACTAGTTAGAAGATTTATGTGAAACTAAAATATCACAAAAAATTTATTTCGTCATTGTTCAAGTTTATTCACTTGTACTGCTGAATCTGATAAAAGACTCAGTATACAGGTTGGGCTCGGTAACGACTGATCAAGTGCCTATCATAGATGACATTACGGAACACTGTTGAACAAACAGTTGAGTAGAAGTCATAGCTGTATATCAAGTTCCTTGATTATGAGAAAGCATTTCACAGCGTAAATAGGAGAACCTTATCGAACCTTCTTTGACAACGTGGTGTAACTGAGAACATCATCACCATCATACAGAATGCCTAGGATAGACTACACTGCAACGTCGTACATGGAGAGCAGTTTACAGGCACATCCCAAGCAAGTAAAAAGGGCAGACCAAAGAATACATGGGGCCTAGAATTGGAGGCAAACATCGAAAGAATGGGTAACACTTGCCAATAATTGGAAAAGACAACCCAAGACTGCGTAAGTTGAAAAATCCTGATTGACTGCCTTTGCTCCACAAGGAGTAACATTCGTAAGTAAGTAACTTATAAACGACTTGGGTATTTCTTCATAGATCACTAGATTGCTAAGACGTTTTGCACGGTACTTGTATCAGTCCACTTATTCTCATCATATACCAAATAGGTTTTGGATTTCTTTCATTTTATGTGTGTAGATAACAGAACAATGGGAAAAGGCGCAGGAAAGTGAATTATTAGATGAAACAAAAGAGGTAAGATAAATAATTTCACCCTAAACAGATTGCAATAACTAGTATGGGAATGTTACACCAGGCTTTAACTTATTGTATAACTTCTATACTTTTTTCTAAATATTTTTAGATGTTAGACAAACAAAACACGTTGTGCAAAGACCTTATAGCTGAGAAAAATAAGCTGATTAATGAACTGAATTTAGTAAGTCGTAAATTTGTTTTAAAAATTAGTAGGAAATCGCGTACGGGACCAATAAACCAATTATGCCCGCGATATTTCGTATTTATGCAATATGAAAACATCGCCAACATGAAAACCGAATGAGTTAAGATATTAAAACCTATATTGTTATAGATGATTTCAATTACTCATTTGTTGGGCATCTTGACTGAATTGTGATTAGTCTTTGTCCGCATATGTATGTAGTGTACGTATTACCCATATGTGGCTATTTTTCACATCTTATTATCGAACAGATGGATTTGTAGTCAGCAAAGATGGATCACAATTCAGTCAAGATGATCAACAAATTTATAATTCAAGTCCTCACTAATAATTATATAAATATTATGTGTGGATCTAGTAACTTAGTGAAGAGCCTATTGGCCTTTGAAGATAAAGTTAAAAGTTTTAAGCCCCAGTGCGGAAATTAACACTAGGATTCTTGCATAAGTCTGATATCGAATGAAACACGTACCCCGGGATTCGTATATTCTATGAGGGAATGCCTATGGTATTGAAAACTAAACATATACGGAATATATTTATAAGCGTTTATATTTTCTTATTATTGGTATTAAAGGCTACAATCGGTCAGTTTCCATAGGTATGTGTAGGTTTTAAACGAATTTATTCGATATTGCAATTTAGTCATTAGTTCAAGAGCATGGAGTTAAAATGAGGTTTAAAAACGTAACAAAAACATGGAATAATACTAAACTAAATACAAATAAGGTCTATACAAGATATTCAATGTCAGTTGATCGGATACCATCAGCAACAGCCTACTGTAACAGAGAACAAACCATTTTCCAGCTGAAGAGGAAATTAAGAAGAGATGATGAGAGTGGATAGGGCAGACATTACGGAAATCATCAAACTGCATCACTAGGCACATCCTAAGTGGAATCCTGAAGGGAAACTCCAAAGAAGAAGTTCGAAGAACACACTGAGATGAGAATTGGAAGCAGACATGAAAAGGATGATTAGCACCTGGAAACAAATGGAAAGGATTACTCAGGACAGTGTTAGATGAATAATGCTGTTGGGTGGCATATGCTCCTCGATGAGGAGTAACAGGCGTAATTAAGTAATCAAATAAAACTTAGAGGGTAAAAAAGGAATGAGTACAAATGCAATATTTATTTCAAATAGTGTTATTTAAAGTCATCGACTATAGATTATAATGCAATCTAAAGTCCATTTTTGAAGTTTTTATCTTCAAACACAACTTTGTCAATATGATCAATTATTTTACAAAGTTAGTTCAAGACAAAATGTTTACGACTTATGTCAAACACTATAATACATGTTTCGTGGAAATAGTTGTTGGTTTTCCCAATCAAATTGTTTAATAGTTGAAAGAAATTCTAACACCATAAGAAATAAATTTCGAATTTTTTGGTATCTTAACTTTTTCACTTCTTAAATCTTTTCTTTTTCAAATGAATCTATCATATCAGAGCGGGAGGTTTGTGGAGATTGTAGTTACTTTAATAGTTGAATTCATGAGCCCATCTGAGCTAGACTACTATTGAAAACCTGGACAGCAACGCCGTTAGATGCTGTCTCAGTGGTCTAGAGGTTAAGTGCTCGAGGGCGAGACTGAAAGTCATGGTTTGAGTCCCGCATGGAGGATCGTGGATAAACCGTACTAAGGAGTCCCGTGCTAAGACGAAACGGCCTTCCAGAGATTCTTGGTTTTCAGTAATGGTCTATCTTAGATCGATTGATGAATTCAACTATTAAAACATCCATCATATGTTTACTATCATCAAATTAAAAACATTGTTTTTTTTGTGTTTGACTTAAATGAAAATAAAAACAATACAGGAAATTAAAGCTAAAGATGATCATTATGTAAGAGAATTAAAGAAACGCACAGATGATATTGATTTATTAGCCGAACGAATGGAATCACAAATTAAAGCTATTCAAAGAACCTATCGGGAAGAACTAATTGCCATTGAAGTATGTAGCATTGTAATAATAACAATTATTATACTTATTATTTTCATCAGCATTATTATGCAAAGTTCAGTCAAGGGATCTCATTTTTTTTAATGAGTTTATTATGAAGTTATACAATTGTGTATTATATATAAATTGTAGGAATCAATTTCGTGAGGACATATGAACAATGAATGAACATGATGACGTGACAGAGCCATTTCATAGTGTAAATTATAACAATAAAAGATTATGTGTATGTAAATAGAAAAATCCTGTAAAATTATTAAGTTAACAATGGATTATACTGTGAATAGAGTAAGTTAATTAAAACGTATAACAAAGGTTAAACGAAGTGAAGTGATATCAGAAACAATTATGAATAAATTCATGAACGAGGGATATTTTCTGTGGTGAAATCAGTGAAATGAAAACAAAATAATACAATAATAGTAATAATAATAATAATAGAGTTGGATGGTGGCTAGCAACGGAATCTAGGGCAAACGTTTGTTTTGCATATGAGTGTTCATCTGAATATACCTGCATCCCATAGTTAACGTTCACTCCACAATACGAACTCAGAACCATTTGCTTTAAACACTATCGCATTATCCAATTAACTTCACAGTTCATATAGTCACTAGCTTGTGGAGTTGTGTGAAGTTTAATTCGTTTCTATTGATGCTCTAAATCTTCTCATTAATGTTTCAGACTGCAATTGATCAGTCTCTTTTGGCATAATAATAACAATAATAGTTTAACACCATAATTTGGCAATAATAAGATGTACTTCATTTTTACACACAATTCACACTTCATTTTTTGAATATAAAAAGCATCTGATGTTTTAATGAGTTGAATACAAAGAGGTCTTTTATAAACAACCTTAATACCAACATTTCGAACAGTGGAGTGATTAGAAACGATTAAGTATTCAAGTATAGAACTCTTAATAGTTTTCCTTTCCCCCTTCTAGATCCACACAGTAATATGTTCTCATACCCAAGTTGAAAGCTAATTCACCTTGTTCTACAAAACCAGGTGAATTGATAGATACAAACAGAAGTTCTTGTTCATTTCCTCACTGAATTAATACCTACAATAAATTCATCGAAAAGAGATTCCTTCGCTGAAATTCATGTTTTTAATACTTATATATTATATATCTGTTTATTATTACGCGTTTGATTTACATTATTATTATTATTATTATTATTATTATTATTATTATTATTATTATTATTATTATTATTATTATTAATGGCTTCATCCAATATTATATTGTAATACAATATAGAATTCGCTCAACATACTCATTAACAATTTTTAATGTAAACTATCTAGAACAAGATATAGATAAGATATTCATTAACCAATACAAGATTACACTTTTTTCCAAAAGATAAGTCCTTCAGTTAGTCTGGTGTAATTTCAAATTAATTATACAGAGATAGTTATTACTTTTAATTAACGTATATAAGTGTTTTTATTTTCAACCTGTTTTTTGAACATTGAGTTGTAAAATGCTAGAAGGTGATTGACGGGAAATACTGTTTTACTTAGGCTTTGTTCTTGTTGGAGCTCATCAGCAAGGTGCGCGTTCAGTCTTGGGAGAATTGATATTCCATGGCATTGTCAATCAGTTTCACTGTCTGAGACCTTACCGCTTATTGTTGAATTTAGTTCAACTCAATAACCAGGGACTTTATTTTTTCTGTTTCTATTTAGTTAAGAAAGTATCTATTGTAGTTTAGATGTTTGAAATGAAACAATTAAGAGACCCTGACGTTTAAATTTCATGTTTTTTTATCAACTTTAAGAGGAAAACATGTTTGCCCAGAAAGGACTGAGATTATTGTAATATTCTACTTCATAAATGCAAACAATTTCACTAACCTATTTAAACCATAACTGATGGTTTGGAAGATTAGGTTATAGACGAAAATTGATGAAAATTAGCTTAGTAATTAGCCATGGACAATACAAAATTTGATACAAATTTGTGACGGTACAAGTTGTAAAATTTTCATATTAGCATTGTGAGTTACAAATCAATTTGTTCTTTCTTTGAAATAATCGAATTTCATGAATCAAGTACTCGAGTGTTAGACCATTAAGTTGGTTAAACGATATTCCTATCTACTGTAAATCACTTCTATTATCTTATATAATCTTTTTCGGTTACCATTTTAATTTCATAGAGCGATTTATCAGTTCGATGTTAACTGCAATGTTTTGAATATTCACTAATTGAACCGTACTCAGAGCTTTTGATAATTTTTTCTTGTTCATCTATTATGTAATATTCTTTATATTTTAAATTTAAGTACAAATTTTATTGCATATTTATATGCATTTCATTCGATATGTCTACGAAATGGGTTACACTGGACATGTTCATAATAGACATTTCCGGATAATTACACTTTCATTATACAGTTGTCACCCATTCAATAAACAATGAAAAATATCAAAAGTGTGGGTTATGATATAGTTAATGAATATATATATCAGACACATTACAAATAATCTCAATCATTTATCAATATCTATTCACCTGAAGGTAACAACCCCCCCTTGTCTAATTAATTTTTTTTTATATTTTCAACCTAATAGAATGCATTTTTAGATCAAAGAGAAAAATTAACTAGTGAACAAAATGCTGAATGGGGAATGTTGATGAATGAAATCAAACAGAAACAAGTAAACTACTATATATGTGAGAATATTTTGTGTGTGTGTGTGTGTGTATGAAGAAAAGTCGTTGACTGATACTGTTTTTAAAAAACATATTAATGTTTAGTATAAAAGAGACCATTTTTAGTAAGATGTTTTAAATGGGAATAATTTTTTTTAAAGGAAAGGAAATTAAATTTCAAAACTTTTTTCCCCTACACCATTGACCTGTACCCTTCTCTCACCAATTCAAAAGCAGCATTTTTACCGGCTCGGCCAATGAAATTCCTGTTATCAGACATACTTAAAGAGTGAGAATGAATCAATTACATGATACTTTTTATTGAGTTCATGAACCGATCAGTGTTAGACTACCATCGAAAACCCGTTTCGTTCTAGTACGGGATTCCTCTGTAGTGTGCATCTACGATCTCTCCTCAAAGGGACTCGAACCCAGGACTTTTAGTCCCGTGTGCGAACTCTTGACCTCTAGACCATTGAACCGGCATCCTACGGGTTAATGTCCAACTTTAAACAATCCACAATATTGTGCTACCATCCTCCATTGTCTTTGGTAGATAATTGCCTCACACCTAACACGGTTGAACTTCACTGGTGACGGCTTCTTACTACAACTCTGAGAATTACGTTTTGAGGTTAGTCACTAGTAAGCACATGACATTTATCAGTACAGGGTTGTGGAGATTGTTGAGTTTTAATTGATTTCATGAACCGATCATGATAATTTTCTAAAAAGGAAAAATGGTAGGCATTTATAATTCTTATTCTCCTACACTCCCCCCTTCCGCATGAAATCTGTCAGCTATTTTTAATCATGATATAACTTTTATAAAATGCAGTAAGTTTTGACGTGTACTAATATATGCTGTTATCATTACTTATAAACTGTTTGTCACTCCTTAAGCGCCATTTCACATAGCTGATACATAGAGATGTTCGGACGTAATTTATCAAGCTCATGGTAGCACACTTATCATTAAAAACAATATTGACGATTATTGCATAACATTATTATTAAAAGTGGAGGGATTTGAACATACAGTTTAATAAATCAAATATTTTATGTTTCATATAAAAACGATCTGAAAGATTACAGTAAGGTTGAAATCTCTGAGCTACATAGTATGCGTAAGGCCAATAAAAACCGGCCTGGTGATAAGTGGTCATGAGAGGCCAAGAAATGGCTCACATCTCTAAGAAACGAGACATGCACCATTGGCGGTTCAAGTTTGTGAGGGATATATATATATATGAATGCCGACTGAATTTAGTCAGTAAACTTCCTTCTTATTCAAGTAGCCGATTGGGTTCATGTTTGGAAAGATCATGTATCAATATCGAAATCGGACACCGCACGTCACAAAAGTTAATTTACATGTAAAGTTTTCACTGTCCTTCTAGACAACAATATCAACATGGGTTTTGTAGAATTTAAATTTAACAAATGAAAACATAAGTACAGCAAAAAATCATCAGAAACGAATAATACTATCTGTACACCAATCTTTATATCAATAAAATTGGAACCAATTTTACCTTGGTTTAATGTAGGTACCAACAGTCTTTTTTAATATACATAAAAGAAAGCTAAGAATTTAACAGATCTATGGATGATTTCACCTTAGACCAATTTGATGCAACATTTCGAAATGGTTATTCTTATTAAGATTAATCCTATGACCATCTTCGTATTAAGTATTTGGTACAAGACATGGATCATAAGCAATATAGAATCTGCTGCAGGTATGTATCGCTTCAAACTCCCACACCATATCAACACAGAAAAATGAGAATATCAAGATAAGTTACAGAGTAGTTCAAGTAATGGAAGTATCAGTTATAGTAGAAAAGATTATGGTTATACGATATGACTTAAAAAGAAGGAGTTTGCAAAATGGGATGCATGGATGTTTTAGGGCAGAGTAAATACACCTACGTCATTCAAACCTAGTTTGACCCATATCACTGAACATCTCCAACCATTGGTTATGATAATCACACGGATCGCAACCAGGTAGTCTGCACCTACCAGCATGTCTCAATTCAATGCTTAATGACTTCATGGACTGATGCTCCATCTCCATTTAGTAACTCATTGGCTTTCTTACAGTCTACTCCTACACCAGACAACATCGCGTATCGAGGTAATCAGTTTGTTTCAATTTATAGTGTCTATTAGACTGGTGTATTTATTCTATTCCCATTGATTAATTTTCTTTTTTATATGACTCTCATAGATTAATTATTTAAAACAACGTGAAGATCAGGCTATTGAATATGAGAAAGAACTTTATGATCTACGCACTAAATATTCAGAAGAGTACAATGCACTGAAAATATCATTGGGCGCTGAAGTCGAGGTAAGTCAGTAAATTAATCATGATAATGAGAAAATTATGATCTTTTACATCTCGCAGATATATTAGACTAAATTTATATACTTCTGTGATATATTATGGGAAGAGGGATTAGTAGGTGAGAAAAGTAATCAGCATTCACAACGATTATGTTATGAATGTAAATGGTACTTAATAACAACATGCATCGATTGCTCTATCGGGGATCGAACCCAGGACTTTTACGTCTGCCAGTCAGCGCTTAATTTTCAGACTATTAGTTTGTTATTCAATAGTTTATATATTCGGGGGTTACCTGTTGAAATCAGTCACTGATGAGCATACATGATTAGCACGGGATAAATGTCAACTGATTACTAAATTCAATGATTGCTTAACTAACATCAATCGTGACATCAACTAAAGGATGACAATTGTTTGATGTATTTTTGTAAATTTTCGTTCAGTATTACAGATATTACATAATCAAACTTGTTATTATTGTTATATACTTTTTGATCGGTGATTTAAAATAGTTTTGCACATGTTACCATATTGACTATTTGTATTCTTGTACTCTGATATTGCAATTTTTACCATAGTATAATGTCATAATGTATTGTTGACTAATAGAAATGCGATTTTTCAGTGCATTTTCATCTTCACATAATTCAATCATTCTTTAAAATATCTAAAGAGAATGAATGAAAACGGAATGAGTTTTAAAATTACCATTTTTAAAACATTTCGTGTGAATTTGAAATTGGAGCCATAAAATCACAGTCTTATTGGTTGATTCTGAAAGAAACTTAAAAACATCTTTACGCATACTGATACATTTTATACTGACATTATTGTTTGAAACGGCTCTAAAATTTCTGTGTTCTTATTTATCTTCTCAAGTGTAGAGTTAGTTTAAACTTGGCAACCTATTTTTATTTAACTGTTAACTGATGAAAGCTGCCATTATCTTGTAAGTAGGACTGTTACCTTAAGTTATTTCTTTTTTCGACATGACTGAGTGAATAATAAAAACCGAATTATGGATCATGAATGAGAAAATATATACGTTCATGGTGTTATTCATTATCGACCTCTCTGTGAAGGGAAGACAGGGGATGTTTCTTTTTATATGGAAGCTCTGAATAGTTTTTTCTGAGGGGGGATAATGAACTTTGTGCGTTACCGAATATATGTAAGTCTGATAAGTAATTACTGTATAACACCAATCTACTTGAACATTCAACACACACCACTTTCAATCATCTTCCCTACTAATCGGACACAGATTCTTTTTGTTTTATTATGTTCTTACAATCCAGATAAGTCATTATGAGGTAAAACTGAAACTAATTAGACACAATAGAAAACGAAACGACCTAGATGAAAAAAATTATTTACAAACTCGATTATTGTATTACTTAAATGTAATCAATCAGTCACTTAGTTTGTGAAGATGAAATGTTTTGTATATAAATAGGACTTTATGTAATTCATTCAATATACTATTCAACTTTAGTATACACTCTTTGTTTTTTGTTGTTGTTGTTGTTGTGGAATTTAGACATTTGAAAGTCATTTACAAAAATTAAAATCTACATATCAATTGAATTTAGAAAAATTAGATTATAATTATCAAGTTTTAAAACGACGTGATGAAGAGAATACAGTGCTTAAATCAAATCAAAAGAGAAGAATTACACGTCTACAAGATACATTGAATAATTTACGTATAAAATCAACTAAACAAGAACAACAATACAAGTGAGTAGTATGTGTTTCTTTGGTGGGAGTATTAATTCAATTGAGACTGTTGACAATTTACAGTTATATTTTGTGATTTATATCTGCGTTTTGACTAAGTCATACTGTTATAACTCTCTCTTATTACAACCTAGCTATTCCTATTGCTTAGTATTCTCGGACATCAATTCACTCAACAAGTCCCGAAATCAGAACACGATTGAACAGGAAAGAGATAATATTCCAGATAACAAGGTTAGATGGAAGTAAGAAGCACAATAGGGAAAACGTTAGTATATTTATAGTTTTTACATGAAAAGATTCTAGAGTGTACTCCAAGTATCGACTAACACTGACTGTATAAGAATTAGCCAATCAGCGTGCGCCAACGCGATCGTGCATGGAGCATGCTTTAATCCAATCTATGTACCGCTTACACATAAATATTTATTTTCTATCTTGTAAATAAAAATTTTACGAAAAGAGTGTATTTAATGGTGTTGAATTCTTCAAGCTTGTTGGCTTAATTAAAATACTTTCATTGTTGTCCTGATTGGTAGAATTATTAAGGATTTATTACTTAAATCTTAAAGTACTCAACATCATGGAATAAAACTTACATATATAATAGTCTGGTGTATGCACATAAGCTGTATACAACTCCACTCAGAAATGGAATATCTGGCAGTAGATGGTTGGGAAGATCGAATTGAAGAGAACGGAAACAAAGAGTATTTGTTATGGTAATGAAGGAACGATGAAGTTTGAAAAAATTGATGGAGGATTTACAAATGAAGTATTGAATGTATAGTTTTCACATTTGAGGAAAAAACTCTAATTTTCTATTAAAATGCAGTTGGTTTTCCTCACATGTGTTCTCATTCATTAAAATGGTAAATGGGTGGTAAAATAATGTTTGATGAAAGGTTGTCTATTCAAACAAATAAAAGTTGAATTTAAAGCTTCATCTCACTATATGAAAGTCGCTCATTTATTGCAATATATCACTCAATCAATGTCTAACGTTATCTCTGTTTTAGACTTCGAACTTGCTTTTAATTTGAAATGAATTATCCTCTTTTGTCTCAAATAAAACTTGAGTAATATTAATTACTAGACCATCACTGTTCACTTGTACAGTGATTTCCTTCACGAAATTTAATCTGCTTCATATCGTTTTGTTAGCGTGTTTTGTAGTTTTTAGTAGCATACAACTTACATGTAAGTAGTATATACATATAAATACAATTATTGTAACTACAGTTTCCTGACTACAGTGCAAAGTCGTGCAGAGAGGACAGATGACAGACGCATTCCAAGTGAGAACCGGAGTCAGACAAGGCTGATTGCTATCATCCTTTCTCTTTCTTCTGGTGGTTAACTGGATCACGAAGACCTCCACATCTGGGGGAGGCACGGAATACAATGGACTTCACAGATAACCTAGCTATTCTATCCCATACACACGAACAAATGCAGACGAAGACAACTAGTGTAGCAAAAGCCTCTACATAAATAGGCCTCAACATACACAAAGAAAAAAGAAAGATCCCCAAATGCAACACAGAGAACACCAACCTAATCACGCTTGATGGAGAAACTCTGGAAGAGGTGGAATCCTTCACGTACCTGGGAGGCATCATTGATGAACAAGTAGGATCTTGTTTAGACGTAAAGGGTAGGGTTGGCAAATTAAGGACAACATTATTACAATTCAAGGACATATGGAAATCAAAAAAACTGTCAACCAGTATCAAAGTGAGAATCTTCAATACGAACAGAGCTGAAACGTGCAGAACTACCACAACTATCATCAAAATGGCACAAGTATTTATAAACAACTTTCTACGCAATATACTCAATTTTCGTTAGTCGAATACCATCAGCAACAGCCTGCTATGGGAGAGGACAAACTAGCTTCCAGCTGAGTAGGAAATTAGGAAGAGGTGATGGAAGTCGATAGGACATACATTACGGAAATCACCAAGCTTTATCTTTAGGCATACCCCAAATAAAAGTCCTGAAGGGAAACGCTAAAGAGAAAGGTCGAAGAACACACTGCGATGAGAATCGGAAGCAGACATTAGAAGAATGAATAGCATCTGAAAAAATATGGAAAGGATTACTAAGGACAGAGTTGTATGGAGAATGCTGGTGGCTTATACTCCTCGAAGAGGAGTAACAGGCGTAAATAAGCTTCTTATTACATTATGAATCGATATTTCAACCCAATCATACTGACAAGATACATGAAATATCTCATAAAGTTGTCTAAATAATAAAACATTCTACAAAAAGACAAATTACTCTTTATAGAGTGGATGCTTTTTTTTACGTAACATGGAGCTCATTATATTGTTACACAAAATAGCTAATATTATCACATGGGAAATAATTCTGATTCTCCCCATTGTTATTATTATTATCCTGTTTTCTTTTAGAGTAGAAAATGAACAGTTATCTGAAGATTATAAAAGAAGAATGGAAAATTATAGTGATTTACAAAAGAAATCAAAGTATGATTCTGTGTATAGTGCAACTGCTTCATTTTTATTTAGACCTTAAATTAGGAAACTAGAAAACAAATTATGTTTATTATAAATTGATTAAAGACATGAAGACTACAAATGAGAATGGGGTATAATGTGTAAAATCTGTTTTGTTATTGGTTTCAAATTATCTAGTGGGATTCCATTTATGACTCTATGTAGTTTCTGTTAAACATATCCTGTTCATGTAAATGATATACCTAAATTGCCAATCAATCATCATAGATTCTTTCAAAGTATTGATTGTGTGTGATGGAAGCTTTGAAGTGGATAAATATAGAATAATAAGTAGAGACATTGAACAAGCTGATCAGGACCTTAGGCTTCATCGACAGATGTGTTACACACTCATCTTTATCACCTACCTTGATGTACACTGAGGGCTAGTGTAGAAGTATATTTAAAAAAAAGATGAAGGCGATTAGATCAAGACATGATAATAGTCCATGAAGTTATCGATTGGTGGTCTAACCTTATGGCATGATGTGAAATTCATGGCTGGAGTATATAGGTTAATCATAATTTATGTTTAGTTATGATACAGTAATATCTCACTTCATTCTATTGTATAACGGGTTGAATTTCTGAATTTCTCGTAACATTGCCATAGTTGATTGACTAGACGTGTCGTCATCTTATCGAAACCTGTTACCGCCAACGAGTTAAAGCATATCATTCAAAGTGTACAATCATTAATCATAGTTACTGAGGGGATCCAAGTTAGGATGTTTGTATTTACTGGTGTAGCTCAGACGAATTTTTAACTATCTTATGACTTGATTCGAACCTTCCGTTTGTCTGTAGGTATCAATCCCAAGGTTGGACTTGATATCTCAAATAAACCGAGCATAGGGTAGAAAGTTAATAATAAATGTATTTTAAAGATATCACTAAAATATACTTATTATTAACCTCCGTTTGTCTGTTGTTAGCTTCATTTTAATACGGTTTTATTCTATCCAATACTGAACATTAGGATAAGGGGTTTTCGAGTACATGTAATCAGTATTCTAAGCACACCAGTGGATAGAGGTCCACAACATGATCAACTGCTTTACCATTTCTACTTAGTCAATGTGCTCCTTACCTCAGCATTAGTCACTCAGTGGTTCCACTATGATTAACTTATTCTGTGAAGACATCTAATATCAAATACTAGTAACTTGTATATATCCCTCATTTTCAAAAATCATGAATTAAGACAAAACGAAGTTTTAAACAGTAAGCTCTATTCTTGATACGAAGACGGGTGTCTCGCCACAAATGATATGAGTTGGGGAAATGCAAACAAGATTGTTGATACTCACGCTATATTTATGTTAAACCGATCACCATTCTTATCATATATACTTAAAACATTATCATATATAATTTTAATTCGTATAGAGGGGATTTGTGGAGATTGTAAAACTTTCGTAGTTTATGTCACGAACGGATCTTAGTTAGATCACCATTGGAAAACCTGAAAGCACTGAATGGTTGTTTTGTTCTAATATGTGATTCTTCAACAGTGAGCACACAAAATCTAACCGCAGAGAGTTAAACCCATGTCTTAAGCGCTAGCGCTTAACCTCTAGACTATTGAGCCGGAACCCAATGGTGTACAATGAATGTAGACGCGTGAGATAAAAAGTCCTGGATTGCTTTACAAATGCAATGTGATAGACGCACACTGCTGATATGTCCCATATTAGGATAAAACTGTTGTCCAGTGCTTCCAGGTTCTCAATAATGATCTAGCTATGGTTAGTTCTAAATTTAAACTACGAAGATGAACAGTTCTGTCGTCAATATGATTTCTCATAAAAATCAGATAACATGATCATTTTATATTCTTTGTTTTTCATTAATTAAAATATAAATAACAATTTGTTTAATTAAGACAACAAACAATTTTAATGAGTTATTCAAATCTCGTATTTATTATTTCAAAAATAAAACACTTTAATTAAGATTGTTAATAGAAAATGTACAACGAAATTTTCATGATATTTGGATAATGAATGAAGAGAATTTGAAACAGTTAGGTAATCGTCTTTTGGAAGCACATCGAATTATTACTGAACAACAACTTGGCTTAACATGGAATCCACCAGATATGTAAATATTTCTTTTCTTTTATTTACTGAAAACAAAATTGCAGTTTTTAAAAGTTTTTCTTCTTTATTTGGCATTTTCACTGGATATTTAAATAGATTTATTTATTTATTTTTAATACATACATATTGGTACAAGGAGGCACCAAATACATATGCGCCACACAAATTTCATTTGATATGTGTGAGGGTTGTGATACTGCCCGGGTGCCCAAATCGAAGCGGGTATTTTTCTTAGGGGGCCATCACCCGGAGCCTTCGACCTAAAGGTCTGATCCACAAGGCAGTGGAACATCGTAAGGAGACGTAGTCCCATGGTAGTCGATGACCAAAGATTGGTTCATACGCTATTTTTTCCTCTAGGATACTGGAGCCCATATGCACGATTGGTTTTGAATGAGGGTTTTCCAACTCCCCTAGGTGGACTCTCCATGTCCACCAAACCGGTTAAAGCGCCGGGCATTCGCTTTTCGTACCCTCAATTTTGTAAACAAACCCGCCCCCCGCCACGAGAAGGCATTGAATAGGACTTCCCAGGCAGAGGCTATATACGCGTGGCCATATGAGAGCACTTCAAGAGGGATAGCGGACTCTCCCCACTCTCAGCCGTACCAGGGCATTTGGGGGCAGCCCGGCTAGCTCAATCGGTAGAGCATTTAAATAGAACCGAAACTACTATTCATCAATGCTTTTATTGATTAACAATTTTTACATTCAATGGTACTATTTTTTGATATAGTTCTGGTATCAGAGATAATAACTGATTGAAACTTGATTTGTTACATAACTATCAATAATTAGCTTCAAAATTAATTTTGTGAGGTGGAAAGTCGTAAACATTGGAGGCGCATACAAGTCGCGAATGAGGCCATTGACTGAATAGTAGCATTATGTAGGGATCACTTTACATGACAGATTGATCAAAATAATAACAAATGATGCAGTTGACTTAGGCTTAGTAGTCTAACCATTTCGTACTCTCACTGAGACTTGAATGTACTAGGCCTCGGTGTTTAAATAGGCTTGAGTCACAATCTACTTAGTGCAGTTTGGGAGGCCTGGTAATATTACTAAAACCCTCTACATATCAAAAGTAAATTATGGTCCAAATTGAGTGCAGGAATGTGCACTTAATTACTAAGTTGTATTTTTTATCGTAACCGTAGTTTTGATTGAACTTTAACATCAAAGATGCTTTGCTAATAATAATTCAACACGAAAACGTAAGTCGGTATCATTAACATAGGAGCCATTATACCAGAGTTCTTAAAGAAATATGAAATTCTTAGTCCCATTTGTAGTTCGAGATGATGGTGAATATTTACAATTTATTGTAGAATATTTTTGTGCTCTTGTTGAGTAGTTTACTCATGAAACTCTCGTTCTACTCCTTGACTAGTTTTTGTTGATGATGTTGTTTAGAAGTAACACAATGGAAACGTTGTAGCTTAACTGTTAAGCTCGAAGAACACATTACTAAATCTGATGATAACAGGATCTCTGCAATGTACGAAGATCTTGCATTTGGTTAACAGTGGTTTTGTAAATGAATACTACCAAGAAATTATATACCACGACGAAAGCAGTTATACAATGCTTTCTTGTTTTGAACGCTTGTGATCTTACAATAGGTCTGCGAGACGTAAACTATCTTCAAATTGAATAATCTCCATAGATTCTTCATGTTAATCAAAATTATCTTCATTTTAAGACTTTTACGAGTACCTGTTTACCGAAATCCCATAAATGAATATATCATAGTTGTAAATAAAAATAACTAAGAAAATGAATATGCTCATAATCAGTAACTACTATTGATGATCTCCAGTGACATATATATGGTACATTTCATTTTTTTTCTAGATCATTCATGGAAAATGTAGGTCCAGTGAAACAGATCACTAGTATACCTCCAGCTATAATTGCAATGGAATTAGCCTTACAATCTGACAAGAAGTAAATTGAAAATTTATTCTTCTATCCCATTTAGAACTTGTATTCAACTAAACATAAAACTTACACTATTGATAATTGATATTTATAAAATCTATGTAACATTGAGTTTAGACCAATAGTGATTTTCTTTGTCTAACTTTATGATGAATCAGTGATTAGCTGATATTTTATGTTTGAAATATTTCAGTTTGATCATTTCATAACATTAGTATACACTGGAATTTGATAGTTTTAAACTCAGACAAAGTACAGATGTATAGATTGTCTATTGAAAACTCATTAATAGCTCATCTTGCTAATAATCACCAATACTTTAGTAGTCAACCAATCAGTCAGTCAGTCATATGCGCAACATAAAACGTGTCATTTTATACATCGGTTGTCACAACACCACATTACACTGAAATACTAGAGTAGTACAAATAATTACGGTAATAGGAAGCATTGAAGATGGATAATCACAATGAAAAGAGAATATGAAGTCACAAAGTGGAAAAGTATCAGATAACTTTAAAGCCAATGATTTAATGGAAGATTAAATGTTTCATAATCTTATATGAGGCGAATATTTAGTCGGTACATCTAAATTTGGGTCTAAAATCAGCCTGATTTTCTCGGATTCATTCTTCGGATTACCTATTTAAGCGTTGTATAAGCCACTATATTTTTTTCTAAATATCGACTAACTTCAAATTTTTCTAGAAACTTTCCAGATTCACAGAATGTGACCTCAGAAAATAAAATACCTACAACATTGAAAGAAGTTTCATCAAAAACTGTACAAGAATTTTTGCACTTATTGTGTTATGAGCCTGTAAGTTTTCGTATTATTTCCTCATAATTTAATTAGACTTTAAAAATGCATAATATTTATAATTGATTGATCACTGGGTGGTGATCAATGTCATGTGTGTCAAGTCCTTATTTAGTGCAGATCGAATGCTAAGTGACTCGACACTGCGGGCACTATACATTGAGATTAGATGGTGGCCACATTGCAACATGATCGATAGCATTCGATCTGTGGACTGTGTCCACTCTATAAGAAGTGAACGTTTATTGATTCATTCAAAAATTTACATCAAAGTATGTCAACCAATTTATCCAACATGATGATTTAAATACATCATACGACAATAAACAGTATTGAATTATCGAATTTGGACTATCAGTTAACCATGGTTGTTATTTTTAAATGTTTTTTTACTAAGTAACTCAATGATAAGTATATTGGCTGTGTGCTTCTAAGTGGTATACATTTGAATCCCAGTATGATGAGTATATCTCTTCCATCCATTAGTTTATACTAACTGGGGATGAAATATATGTTCAAGAATTTGTTGTGGATTCGCTTTTCAATGTTCAATATACGTGCATTATTATTTAGTGAGTGAATCCTGGACGTAACAACATAATTTTCACCATGGATTTCATTTCAGGCTCTAAATTTCATTATTATTTGCTCTTTTCATACGATAAGTTGAAATGTGTTACACAGACGTGTTCTGTAGATAACTACAGAAGATTAAATTGAAATCTGAGGAAATTATAATCTTACACCACTGACACACTTTATGGACAAAATAATTCTAGAACATTTGAGATATCACACTTTTACTGAACATTGACAAAATGATGATTGGCCTCATGCTGTAGTGAACAGAACACGGGTGGGGACAATCGAATGTATCTAACACAAAATTACAGGACTTGTTAATAAAATCTAACAATCATAAAGTAAATGCTTAATTTGCAAAATGTCCACCAATTGTCTCAAAATGACCCAGACTTCATTGTTGTTGCATTTTCATACAAATTGCATCCTGTTTCCATTCTTTGTTGTTCGATCCTCTTGTCTCTCTTCTGCCAGACCTTCTGTTTACGACTAACATCATATACTACTTATGTCAGTATAAGTAGCACTCACCACAATAGTACTGGTTGAGATTTAACAATTATATTCAAAATTGATGGGTAAAAAACAAAGAGAAATTCGAACTTTTATCATTTTACATTTTAGTTAAATGACACTAATGCTTTTTGTGTTATAACAATAATTGTAGGAATTTTTAATTGATGAAAACATAAAACGTTTGTTAGAACCGTTAGGATATGAAGAAGGGTTACTTCTACGTCTAGATACAATACTAACGGTAAGTAGATTTTTGAAAAAAAATTAAATTGAATAAATATTAACATTATAGGGTTATGGAGATTGTTGAGTTTTTATGGAGATCATGAACTGACCAATGTTAGATTACCAGTGAAAATCAGGAAGCATCGAACGGCCATCTCGTCCTAATGTGGGACTCCTTAGAAGTGTACATCCACAATCCTTCATGAGGGACTCTAACTCAGGACATTTGATCTCTCAGAGGAACACTTGACCTCTCAACCAGTTAGCTGGCACCCGACGGTGTTTATGTCTAACTTCAACCGATCCATGATCTTGCGCAACCCTTTATCCATTGTCTGAGGTAAATAACTGGCTCACACTCGACACGAACTGGGCTCCACTTGTCACGATTTCTCACTAGAACTCCAGGGAGTCCATCTTGAAGTTGATCACTAGTGAACACGTGATTATTATTAGTATGGATATTTGTGAATATTGTAGTACTTTAACAGTTGAATTCACAAGGTTAAACGTTCCTGCACGAAACCAAATATGGGTTCGAGTCCCACGTGGGGAATCGTGGGTGAGCGCTGCTGAGGAGTCCCATACTAGAACGAAACGATAGTTTTGTGCTTTCATCCTGGATTTCACTGCTAGTCATGTTCTATTTGTTCTATGTTCTTTACAATACTCATTTTATTGTCGGTCAAAGTTTAGTCTTTTATCTAAATGAAATGATTTATACAACTTTGTAAAATATAGAGATTTTAGTCTTTCTGTTCAATAATCGATATTACCTGAACGAATCTAATCCATTTATCTCACCAAATGGAACTAACAAGATAATCATCTTTTCTTCATTTTCCTAAAAAAAGAATAAATCTAGAATGTCAATATTTTCCAAAACATTATTATCCTTTCTTACAGATGAAAATTTTATCTTGAATACTATTAAGTTCAATAAAAAAACTTAATCCTTATAGTTGAATCAGTTGAGTGAATTAAATTTGATCAGTCTGAGGCAGTGAAAAGTTACCTTCAAAAAATCTTTTACAACTGTTGGTTAAAAATAGTGTGTGAAGACAAAGAACATCTCTAAGGTGGTCATCCTACATTATGGTCTCAAGTTATAACTGCTTATATACTATAAGAACTGAATTATGACAGATTCACTTATTTGATAGCATAATTTGGGAAATGTGATATGATTGTTTCATGAAAACATCATGGAATCTTACAACCTTGAATCGTTGGTTTATTGTTGTTGTTGTTATTTTTTTCTATGTAGGTTTTAGGTGTACAAACAGAAGAAGATTTAAATATGTTATTTACATATTTTGTCGAACAACAAAAAGATAATAAATCTCAGCTTAAACGTGTACCTTCAACAACCATTGAAGAATCAAGTAAGTATACAATTCTATTGTCATTTGAATTTTTCAAAATTCAATAAAGTTGAACACAGTTATTTGCAGCATTTAATTTTTCTACAGATATAAAACAAATTAACTTGATGTATACTTGATTTATTAAAGGATTATAAGTTTACTACAACTTCCATTATTGTTGAAAGTACTCGGTCGGTCAGCCAGTAACAACGTAGAACCTGTACATGTGTACATTAGTTCAAATTGTTATGCCACATAAGCACGGAGAGATGAAATTGTCACACCAAATGTTAGAATGGTAGAGTTCGTAACAGTATCATTAATAATAGTAAAGATTAAGCATTGAAGATACTATTCAAGGAAATACAAATTAGTGAAATAAAGATACATAAAACGATTTGAGAATTTCATTAACCCAGAGTTTGGAGAAAGCCAAAGAATGGATACACTTGCACCATTGCAAATGATTTTGAGCCATATTATTCAAAATTTCTAAACATTGGCTATGATAATCATGTGGACGACAACTAGATAGTCTGCACCTATTAACATCAACCGTCGAGGTAGACTGTGGCTGAGAATACATAACACATGTCCCAGTCAACTCAGTTGATGAATATTTACCACTTCATCAATCGATTTCCCATATTTACTTAGTACACTATTCTTAATCCACTCACTGTTATAGGTACTATAATAATTAAATGCTATAGTAATTTCATTCGGTACTGGATTCATACATTATTGTGAACATCGGTACTAAAGTCCCAGTACACCCTAGCGACAAGTCAGGAATAAGGACGAAATACGTCCCCTTAGTTATGTTGTTTACTTCTAGTGATTTGTTTATTTGCCATCCATTAATAATAAACGTTTGTATTTATTTAGTTCGTTTAGCTTTAAAAGTGTTTACTCGACTGAACTTTAGAGTGTTTCGGAGTTTCGCAAACATTATTATTGTATTTATTAGTTATGAGAGTTTCTACCACAAATGATCTATGTGGGTTCTGTTTGTTTGTCGAGTGGAGGGGGGCTAAAGTGTTTTGTCAGATCACACTAGGCAGTCGATGTGTACCAATCAAAGTCCTATCTTAACATAGATGATGAGCTGAATTATGTTGATTAAATTGAAGTATGTACATTAAACTAATTAATTCGACGTAGTGGTGGGGTTTATTTTTAAAGTCCAAATGAATGCTATAAACATTATCAACAATAAATGGTTACTTTTAAACAATTTATCTTGTCGAATAATATGCGTTTAGTATGGATACTTACTTACTTACGCCTGTTACCCCTCCTCGAGGAGCATAGAACGCCCACCAACATTGTTTATCCAACTCTGTCCTGAGTAATCCTTTCCATTTGTTTCCAGGTGCTATTCATCCGTCTCATGTCCGCTTAAAATGTCCTATCCACTTCCAACGTCTTTTCCTGATTTCCCCCTCAACTGGAAGTTAGTTTGTTCTGTCACAGTAGCCTGTTGTTGATGGTATTCGACTAACGAAAATTGAGTATCTTGAGTAAATAACTGTTTATAGATACTTGCACCTTTTTGATTATAGTTGTAGTAGTTCTCCGAGTTTCAGCTCCGTACATTAGGACAGCCTTGACGTTCGTGTTGAAGATTCTGACTTTGATATTGGTTTACAGTTGTTTTGAGTTCCATACGTTCTTCAATTGTAGGAATGTGTTGCTACCTCAAATGAAATCTTGAAGAAGTAGGTAGGTTTTAGGAACATACTACTAAAGAGGCTAAAACGAACACAAAACAGATTTGCACCAACCTCTAGTTTCCAATAGTTCTCTAGCTTAAGTGAATTAAGGCAATATCAATGCAGTACGCACAGTATGCACATATGCCAATAAGAGACTGATCAATTGCAGTCTCAACGATCAATGGGAAAATTCAAGTAAACAGTTGGTTGTCAGGACTCAGTAGCTAAGTGGATAACGCGATGGCGTTTGAAGCGAACGGTACTAGGTTCGAGTCCTAGAGTGGACATCAACTCTGAGATGCAGGTATATCCAGCTGACAAGTCCGAAATAGGATGAAACTCGCGTCCTGGATTCCACTGCTAGCCACTGTCCATCTTTACTCATAATCATCTTATTAGTTTTAAATAAAAATTTTACCCAATTAAATCAAATTTCACAGGTGAATCTGTTCAGAAATCTCCATCGAAATATACCAGCTCACAAAGTTTACAAGAATCATCTGATAAAATGAATGAAACTGTTAAATTTATACAAGATGAAAGTAATAAAGTTCAGTCAATTGTTAATGGAAAATGTTCAATAAAGATTGATCATTCAGATGATGAAATAAAAACTGATGAAGTAAGTAAATTAGAAAAGTAAAGAAAAAAACTTATTGTTCTATCTGTACTCGTTTTTTTTAAATTTCCTCCTTCATTAGATAAAAATGAAATATATTTTTTGGACAAAACAATCATTAAGGCGAGACTCTAATTTTTGGACGAGCCAATCAGAGGCATTTTAGAGATTTCAAGGTTACAGCGCCAACTTTAGTGCCTAATGCTAACGTACGATTGGTTCACTGGGAATTTTGTACAAAACGTGATAATTGAGCGGATATAACAAATAAAACGGCTGGACTATAATTTGTGAACGAATCAATCAGGTATAGCATTTTGTGCACTCAACAACCGGAGTGCACATACATAATATTGAACCTATGTGGTCGAGGCTGAAAGAGTTTTTGAGACTTTATCATGGCTCCAGAGGCCAACTATTCTGTAGCCATATGGACGACTTCCTCTACTGCATGCATTACGATTTTAGAACCTCTGAACCTCTTTCTAACCTTGACAAGTTTTTGAACCACGTATAAGAAGTATATCCACTTTATTTCCTTGGTTTTGTATAACATATGTTCACTCTAAACTGACTGTTTGCTGATTGGCTAATATTTCTCAAGGTTACTTAAGATTCGTTCAAAGGTCGTCCATAAATTAGAGTCTCGCCATCATTAAAATGGTTTGTCTTTTAATTAGGTATATAATTAATTAGTAATAACTTGATGAAAGAGATAATTGTTGGACCATGACCATATCATTCGTGAAATAGTTACTAATCGATGGCATTAAAAGATGCTTAAACAATGTTTTGAATTGATCGACTTTAGATATGTAGGATATTGAATGTTAGCTTAGTGATCTAAAGGTTAAACTGTCACTAAAAGATCTAAGGGTCTCAATAACGATCCTCAATGGATTTGTGGTTGTCCATTGACGAAGGACAATACTAAAATCCAATGGTCGCTGTTTTTTAATGGTTATTTAACTAAGATTAATCTGTAATATAAAATACACAGTTTCAAAATCTCTCTCCAAACCATTGTTTGGTCTAATGTTGTTACTACGATACCACTTGTTAAGAGGTATTTATTACTTTCATGTTTATTGTTCAGCTGATGTATTTTAATTGCTTGATGGTTGGAGGTAGTCAGCAAGGAATCCTATTTAACTTAGATTTTGTGTCAATTGATACTTGTGAGCAATGCACAGCAGGAATCTGCAAGAAATGGGTACTCCATGTCTCATTCGAAGCCGAATCATCCAACTTCACAATCTGAGATGTCATCGGTGACCATTTAGTCTCACAATTAACCTATTTGACTAGGGTATTCATATGAATTGTTCAATTAATAATGGTCAGTGTCGTTTATATCTAATCCTTAGTACTAATCGAATCCGATTAGTCAAGTTCCAATGTTGCCACTAGTCTATGTGACTCAATGTCAAGTACATTATGTTTTGATTTAAAGCTGTTGGTTGTTTTCAATCTAATACATATTTGTTGCTTAGACCTTGTTTATACATTACGTAGTAGGAAGAAATGAACTAATTAGTAATGACCAATTTGTAAGTGATCCAAGAAGTGATACTTAATATAACATTTATCATGGTTAAAGTAACACTTGAATGTAGTCAATTAAGGTCATTTTGGTTTACAGTTGTTTATATAAATGAGTGTTGTCAGTGTTATTTTCCCAACATTTTAGATCATCATTATTTTGAATTTGTCTTTAAGAAAACAATCTGAATTTCATTTGCTCAACAAACAAAATAATAATACGCAAACTATGGAATATTTATTTACTTAAACAGATAAACATTGGTACAAGGAGGCACCAAATAGATACGTGCAACATAAATCACTCGATTTGTGTGAGGGCTAGAATACTACCCGAGTGCCCAAACCAAACCAGGTGGTTTTCTTAGGGGGCCACTCCCCGAGCCTTCGACCTACAGGTCTAATCCACAAGACAATGGAGCAATGTCAGGAGATGCAGTCCCATGGTAGCCCGTGACGAACAATAGAATCATACGCTTTTTCTTTCTTTAGGATCCCGGGGCCGGTGTGCACGATTGGTTTTCCAACTCCCCTGGGTGGATCCTTTATATCCACCAACCCGGTTAAGGAGTCGGACATACACTTTTCCTCCTCTCAATTTCGTAAACAATACCCCTGCTATGAGAAGGCAGTGAATAGGACTTCCCTGGTAGTGACTGTTTACGCGTGTCCATGTGAGAGCATTTCGAGAGGGAGAGCGGACTCTCCTCAGCTTCGGCCATACCAGGGTATTCGGAGACAAGATTACAGAATAGTACTTAGTTATTTGGATTTTTTATAGATAAATGTAGTGTAACCGATAAGGTTTGACTACATTGGGAGTGAGGTAGTCAGTCATTTACTAAATATATTTTTGAAATAGTTGCACAATATCGCGAAATAGACTGAAGTAAATAATGTTAATCAATGGATTTCAACTCGAAAGCTTAACAGTGATATATATATAATTTTTGGAAACATCATCAATAATTAATGCTTGAGAATTCTTCAAGAAAACACTACTTTATAATATAAAAAAAAAGAAAAAAAACACTCTTTACACAAAAACAACAATCATAAACGTAACAACCATCCATTACTTCAAGCTTTTCCATGATGGTCTAACTTCAATTAACTCATGATCTCAACTATTAAAATGATAAATAAGTTTTTTATATAAAAGAACTAACAGATTTTATTGGGTGTTTTATTTTCTTTCCATTTCCAAAGTCATCCATATCTCATGAAACTCAAACATCTTCATTAAAATGGAATTTAATTTCACCGGTACATGTGATCGATGCAATATATAAATTTACTGAAGATATGCATAGATGTAAACATCCAAAGGATAAAAATAACGTCGATAATCAAAATGATGGTGATAATGATGATGATGATGGTGGTAGTGGTGTTGATGATGATGATGATAATAAGAACAATAAAAGTACAAAATCTACAGAAACTTGTATTCAATTAAATCATAAATTCAAAAATAATTTACCATTAATTACAATGAAAAATTTATCATCATTAAATAATATTGAAATCAATAAAAAATCATTTAATTTTAATAAAATTAATACATTTGATGATTATAGAATTCGTAATGATTCAAATGATTTAATCTATTGGAATAAATATAAGTAAGTGAGATAGCTGGGACATATGTTACGTATGCCCAACCACCGACTACCTCGACATGTGATGTTTTATGGTGTAGGTTGGAAGAAAGGTAGGCGCGACCAAACCAAATTGTGGCATAAATTTATGAAGTCACTGATAAGTAGTAGGTGTAGACTACCTGGTTTGAATCCGCGAGATGATAGGAACCGATGGTTAGAGACCTTGAATGACATGGCTCAAAATCGTTTGCAATGACGCAGGTGCATCCACTCTTTGTGTTCTCCAAAATTCTAATCTTCTGAATGCCTCATGTCCATTTCTTTTCTTTTTCTCTTTCCAAATTTACTTCACTGGATTATACTCTTAGAATAACATCTTCGAACCCTAATATTTCCGATTACTGATTATACTTTTACTACCTTTACCACTACGGGATTTGAATAGACAATTGTATCTGTGTGCTAATGTGGTATGGCAACTCGAACTGATGTACGTACATACGAAGTTCTACGTTGGTACTGACTGACTTTTAGTTGATATGAATAAATAACTATCTTTGTAGATATCCTAATGAGTAGGAAAATTAAATTTTTTGACGTTTCGTGACTTAGTGTAAGCCACTTCTTCAGAGAATAAATAAATAATTAAATCAATATTAATTCAAGTTTAAATAATACAAATGGAACAACAAAAATATTAGTTGATATGATTTATGCCAAAAGAAATTTTAAACAAAAATTGTTTTATTTAATAATAAATTTCATTTAATCAATTGATATAAATTATTGCTTTGAATTAAAATTATAAATCGATCTAAGTGAGATTATCATTGAAGATTTGGAAGCACTGGACGACTGATTCACCTTAGTGTCAGATTTTTCAGCAGCGTGTATCCATGATTCTGTACGTGGGACTCTAAATCAGAATATTCGGCTTCGCGTGCCCACGCGAATGATTAACCTCTAGACCACTGAACCGGGATTCAACAGTGTTTGGTTTCCTTATATGGAATCGTGGATGTGTATTGTTGAGGAGTCTCATACTAGAACAAAATGACCATCTAGTCCCTTTAAGTTTTCATTGATGGTCTAACTTAGATCAGTTCATGATTTTAATGAAATTCAACAATCTCTACAATATCATATTGAAAATAATTGAAATTTCTTTAGTCACTAACTTTCTAATTAGAAAACGAAAATGTTTAACCGATTCAAACTTAAAAATCTCAGATGATTATTCATTTAGTGGAACTAATAATGTAAAAGTGAAAATTGTAAATGATGCTTAAATTGTCGTATTTTCTATGAACCATTTCTAAGCTTTTGTTTGATCCATAAATTTTTACCATATGTATTATGGTTTCAGATTTATCGTTAATTATGTATTCCCCTATTTCTCTGATCTTGTATCACTTGTAACCGAGTTATGTACACTCCATAATAGTTGAATTGTTCTAATAATTGAGCGCAGTGGAGAACATTTGTTCTATATCTTCTTTTTCTGACTGACCAATGGGTTAAAAGGATCTCGAGGACCAACAAACGTTAAAATCGCGGTTGTTGTTTATCGGTCGTTATGTCGATCGGTGAATGGAAGGTCACTAGTCCTACTGGCAATACAGATGAATCGATCGATAATCGAAATAGAGAGTGTGTGTGTGAGAGAATGATCATAGAACCACTGTCTCAATCAGACGGTACTTGATACAACCCAACCTAGCAGTCTGTTTTTTTCCCAAAATAACGAACATTTATGTCAAATATAAAATCATAACGCGCCATAAATAATAAACATTAATCTGTACAAAACATCAGGTCATTTGTGGTACAAAAACTGAGTAACAAGTATACAAGTAATTAAATATAATTGATGAATTTTAAATGATATATCGATAGTCAGTAAATTAAATTAGCGCTTAAGTATTGAACAATAATAATAGCTTAGTCTTTACTCAAAAAAGATTATCGATAATGAATCCGTGGGGAATATATTTCAAATTATCTCCTTTTTTGGTTCATTTGCCCGTTTCTAACAGTTGTCTTCTCGTAAAACTTTCTTGTTTGACGTCTATGAGGTAATCAGAAACAATGATTACTGAGTTTAGATGGTAAAGTTTAAAATCGATTGGAGCAGTGCGAATCTGTTAGTTAGTCATAAACGCAAAAATAATAATGGATTTCGATAATGTAATAAGAAGACGAAGATTATCACAACTATGTGATGATATATATTAGCGCAATACATTTCGAACAATCTGATCACACATATACTTGTTCAGAACCTTGATAAATGAAAATACAAGGTCAACTAGACTGGAAATGGGGTATTCAAAAACAGTTTGTTCTCATCTTAAACCTACCCTGGTAATATTGACTTATTATCCAAAATGATCAGGTTTCAAATTGTGTTCACATTATTATTACTCGTATTATTATCCTTGTTTCCTCTTATCGCGTTGCCAGTCTAGTTGGCCCTTTATTTTTATATATCAATGTTCTTAACAAGTATATGTATGATCAGATTGTTCGAAATTTATTGCGGACTTGTGGAGACTGTAGTAATTTTAATAGTTGAATTCATCAGTCGATGTAAGTTAGACCACGATTGAAAAAATTGGATCACTGGACGGTCGTTTTGTCCTGGTGTGGGACTCCTCAGAAGTACGCATCCGCGATCCCTCACGCTGGACTCGAACCCGGGCGTGCGAACGCTTAACCTCTAGACCACTGGACCGATATCCAAAGGCATTAATGTTCGACTTCAATTGATCCATGATCTTGCATCCAGTGCTTCCAGGTTTTCAATCGTGGTGTAGCTTACATCGACTTCTGAATTCAACCATTCTAAAATTATAAATGAAAAATATCCTTTTTAATACATGTTAACAATATTCTTTTCATTCTTACTATATATATATATATATATATATATATATATATATATATATATATATATATATATATATATATATATGCTTATATAGACAGAACATAGTCACCGAAGAATGGGAAGATATATGGAATAATTTATATCTAGCTTTAGAAAAATATTACAATGTATTGAAACATCGAGCCAAATTAATACATGATACAGACGGTTTAAGAAAACAAAATGCTGAACTACGACATTTATTACAACAATATATGAATTCCAAGGTAAGAAACATGTGTTGATTATTTTTTAAAGAAAATCAGTAGAACTAGTAATTTCATTATTTAAACTTTGTACCAAGAACATTTTATCTTAAATTAATCATGGATCCTAGAAACTCCATGCTTGTATTTGAAGTTATGAGAGTAGAATATAGGAAATTCATGAGAATGATAGTACAGTGAAATTAATCAACAGTAAAACTACCTTGAGTGGTATCGGTTGGAATTTTGTGCATTTTCTAATGAAGATAAATGTCATTTGAGTAGATACAAAGAATGATATGTTAAATTATAGTTTAATTCAACAATCAAGTGAGGATTTGTACATTAAACAACATGTTATATTTAAAATATATATGTTCCGCGAAACTTTATGTTCCTACTCAAAACCGTGGTTATTAGTTAAGTTCACTGAACAAGTATTTAAAATATTGAGCAATAATAATATAAATCGATTAGAATCTTCAAAGAACAACGTTCAGTGTTCAAAGTATTGAAGAGTACAAGAATACCCATCGTTAAAGTTTTTAGAAGCCCGGAAAACTCAAGGAAATTTGTAATTATTTTACAATTAAACTAATATGATAGTCTATACACTAAGCAGGCTGATCATTGTTTGGAAACTAATAGGATAGATGATAACTTGCTTCTCTAGTCGCTTGATTTGGCTGATGAAAAATTTGCATTCCTTCTCACTGTTTCAAAATAAATTGATGAATGGAAAAGCCACTTTTTGAGGGTATTCGAAATGTTGATATAATTACTTGTAAATAATATAGTCTAGAAAACTACAAGAAAGCACTGAATATATTACTGCTATGTCCAACAACTCACGACATTAATCAACCAATACGCAGCAAGGATGCTGAAGACTGATACTCTATGTGTTGACAGTTGGCCCAATAATAATTAGCATGAAACGAAGCGGAAAAACATAAGATCAATGATCGTCAGTTCGAGATCGTTATTATATTTTAGACATTCATTTATATGCACACAAGACCAGACCACGCAGAAAACCAATTGTATAATAGTATTAATCACTTACTTACTTATGCCTATTACTCCTAATGGAGCATAGGCCGCTGACCAGCATTCTACAACCCACTCTGTCCTCCGCCTTCTTTTCTAGTTCCATCCAGTTCTTGTTCATTTTCCTCATGTCTATCTCCATTTCTCGACGTAATGTGTTCTTTGGTCTTCCTCTTTTCCTTTGGCCCTGAGGATTCCATGTGAGGGCTTGTCTTGTGACGCAGTTGGGTGCTTTCCTCAATGTGTGTCCTATCCACTTCCAGCGCTTCTTCCTAATTTCTTCCTCCGCTGGGATCCGGTTTGTTCTTTCCCACAGTTGGTTGTTGCTAATAGTGTCCGGCCAACGGATCCGAAGTATTTTGCGTAGACAACTGTTAATAAACACCTGTATTTTCTGGATAATGGCTTTCGTAGTTTTCTAGGTTTCCACCCCATACAGTAGAACTGTCTTGACATTTGTATTGAAAATTCTATCTTTCGTGGTGGTTGGCAGTTGTTTTGAGTTCCAGATGTCCTTAGTTGTAAATATATATCCGCGCTTTCACATCTGCATCAGATCCACCGTGTTCATCAATGATGCTGCCCAAATATGTCAAAGTTTCTACATGGGGTAATGAATTAAAGATGTGAAAAACGTAATACTGGGTACACAAATAATCGGCTCTAGTTTATAAGTGCAAAATGCTGTAAGAAAATAATAAAATAAAAATGCGATCAATATATATATAGTCGTAAAAACAATAGCTCTGAAAGTTTTTACCTCATAGTTAAATCGTCTCTTACTACAATTGCGTATATTCAATTACTGTCCAACCGGATTTGTATTAGTCGGTAATGGATGAGATAGTTGCAAAAAGAAGAAGAAGATTAGAAGCAATTTAATCAATACATGGAATCAATCCAGTCTATCTGTTTCTTTACAATTCCTGTAACCGTTATTATTGTCATCTGGTTGATTTTATCTCATTGTACTAAGATAACATTTATGTATTTAAATCAATGTAGACTAACTGATTAAGGAATCAATGATTTCTATCCATTGAACTCATTCACTATTTAGATTTTTATTTGCATCAGAAGGGGTTTTGTGAAGATTGTAGTAATTTCAATAATTAAGATCATGAGTCAATTGAAGCTAGACCACCATGGAAAACCTGGAAGCATTGGACGGCTGTTTCGTCCTATTGTGGGACTCCTCAGCAGTGCGCATCCACGACCCCACCTCGTGGGATTCGAACCCAGGACCTATCAGTCTCGCGTCAGGTGTTTAACCAACTAGACCACTGAACCGGCATCCAACGGTGTCAATGTCTAACTTCGACTAATCCACGAAATTGAGCGACACATTCACCACTGTCGTCAGTGAGTTACTACCTCACAACTGACCCGCGGGGCGGGGTCGTGGATGCGCACTACTGAGGAGTCCAACAATAGGACGAAATGGCCGTCCAGTGCTTCCAGGTTTTCCATGGTGGTCTAGCTTCAACTGACTCATGATCTCGACTATTGAAACTTTTATTTATTATTAACAACAAACTCATTGTACTTAAATTCATGTTTACTATTCTATTCTTTATTAAACAGGTTAATTATGAATTACAAATTCCACCATCAAAAATTATGTCATTTATTTGAAACTGGTATCTATTTTTGTGTGTGTTTGTGTGTGTGCGTATGTATCGTATAAACCATACAAATTTATCATTTTGGTTTCTTTAAATGGAAGTATTGAATAAGTAAATAAACTATTTCATAAATATGAATCCATTTTTTTCTTTTTCTATGATTTCATTTAGTTAAACTGTATAATTTTATTTATAGTTAATCTTATAGAGGAAAACCCTTCTAAAATGAATTTACCATAATTTTACCTTTTTCCCCTCATATTATCAAGCATATTTGAGAAAGAGAAATTTAAAAAGTGCCATAATTCTAGATAATAATAATCATCATTATAAGTGTACTCACTCTGTTCAGTTTATTTCCAAATGAAGCATTGAAACATTGAATTTTTGTTAGACATAATTGATTTATCTAAGTGTATTCAAAATAAGAAGAAACATTGTAAATTATTATACTCATATTGTTATTAATGATATCGGTAATACAGAAATTATTTACTTTTTAGTATTTCATTTCGTGTATTTAATTTAATTGGTTTCATTAAATGTAAACTATTAAATGTATAAAAAGATATATGAAGTGTTATCTACATTGAATGCTAGATTTGGCTCCTAAGTTCTGCTATAGTAACCTCGAAACATGACAACAACTCTAGTCGAAAATACACTCATTCATAAATTGATTCATAGATCCATTTTTTTTATTAATAATTAGAATGAAATCACATATATCAAAAATACTTACAATTATAACAAATCATATACTGAGTATCATTCATGTTAACTGAATACAAGAATATCATAAGTTATACAGAATAAAATGTTATACAAGAAAACGAAACAAGTACTATATTGCACTGAATTAAAACGGAATTAATGTTGGACAAAAATTATAATGAGTAAATCAATTGAATTTTGACATTTCTTCCCACCATATCAACATAAAAATATTAGCGATCAATCGTACATATATTTGATTGATCAGCCCTAATTCCAATTACTTTCAATGAGAGATTTTGAGTAATACTCTCTCTTTTCGATCTAATTTGTAAAGTTCTATACATTTTAACTCTGGTTGGTGGAATAGCAGGCTCATATAGTGAACTAATCCATCCATTAATTGATCAGGTAAGTAAAAAGAAGTAGAGGAAGCAAGTTAGTAAGTAACCTTACAACTAATGGATCACTAAGTAATGGTTACTGTTATGTTTGTCTAGTCTTAATGCCGAACTAACTCTATTGATCAGTCTGATCACTAACTTCAGTAACTCGACATTGCCTGCCTTATGCTGAGATGTTAAGTGGCTGGAAATAATTCATAGTAAGATATTTTTGGTATAATAAAATGAAAGTTTCCCTCTCTTGAAATAAATGGAACAAAATTCAGATAACAAACTCTACAGCTGTAGTTAGTTAAATAGCTAGAATGATCTTTGAAACGTCGCTTTTAGAAAACGATTAATGCTGTTGGAATAAACATCTTTTTAATCATCTGTTACACAAATTCCTGCTCTAGTTTGACAATGAATTGCTTTGTGACATAATACCTTCATTTTTAGTATTATGTCTAAAGATGAAGATTTATTCGCACTTTCGAAGCACTCAGTCATCTTGGTGGTAATTGTTTGCCTTTCACTATTTCATAGGTACCTGATATAGTTTGTTTCACCGATATTTCCTCTAAATAGTATGTTGAGGCTAATTAGACTGGGTTCCTTTGCCTTAGTGTCATCTACGTTTTTTTAAGATATGTGGTTCTTCAAACAGACAAAAATCAATGAATAATTAATCTCACAGAACTTATGATGTAAACAATCTGGAGAATTGCTATTTGAATAGGAAATCGCACTAAATCTCTGAAACTACGGATGTTCCTTTTATCAAAAGAAATAGGTGAGGATAAATTGGCACAAACATAATAAACTGCTTTTATTGTGAATCCTGAAAACTTCATTATCAGGGAAGACACTAAGCATGATTAAACTCCTGCCTAGTTATGAGCATAGGTAGCGCAACAGTGAAATTAATTTTAACGGTTATGTTTAAGTTTGGTGTCATGAATGCTGGTTACAAAGTTAGTGCAGATCAGGATCAGGAGTTACTGTATTGCATAGCTCTCGGGAA